AAAATACCCCAAAAAAGATGCTTTCCAATTTTAGACAACTGTTTTGAGACCTCAGAGAGATATTCAGTTGTCTGAGAGGAAGTATTGCTTATTTCTGCAGTAAACAGAACTAGTGGTCTCTTGTGCTTGACAGAGGGTTATAATGTAAATATAGAAATGTTCTTGCTTGAATGAACTGATTTATTACTGTGCTCTCTTTTAGGATAGTGAAATTGTCCCCAGAGAGGTTAAGGTGTTGGTGATGTGCTTGCCTGAAGTGCTGAGGTGAAGCCTGACTTGCTCTGTGCTTTAGCTGCCTGTGTGGGGTTTGCAGACTGCACAGGGTACATCTGCTCTGGTACACCTACTCATCACGGTCTATCTAAACTCATACCCTGGTCATCCACAGGGACAAGCTTTCTCCTCCCAGTTGTCCAGAGCATGAGTCCTACCAAGAGCTGAATTTGCCTTGGTGTAATTTGGAGCAGGCAGGGACATGCCAAAACACTACATGAAGGACAATAATTAGGTGGCATGCATTTATCTGAGCACATTTCCCACTCCTTAGAGAGCACTCTTCATCTTGGTGGGCACTGGCAGCTCTGTACAAAAGATTTCAGGCTGGTTTTTATTCTTTGGCCCAGAGAAGGGGTGAGAATATCATCCCCTCTCTGGGTGAGACTGGTCTGAATGGTACAGCCAGTAATCAATCACATGTTACTTTAGAACATCAGCATCCCGTGTGAGGATGACATGTCTGCTTTTGTAGTAATAATGAATATGTTTTGAAGCCATCAACACAGCTAGGACTCATTTATTTTGTCTTTTTTTGTCAACTGAGTTTAATTGTTTCACAACCAGAGCTCTTTGAGAAAATAATTTCTGCATCTCCTAGTACCTGCACTCCTAGTGTTTATTTCATTAACTACAGGGATTGTGGATTCTGGTTAAAATAATCTGCCTCTGGACAGGGAGAAGTTGACCCTGCTTGTTCAGCACAGAAAGATGGCAATTAGTTCTCTTCTCAAGTAAAAATTCAACAAAGACTTGAATGTTCCTGTGCCTGTTGCTTTACAAGATTGTTTATCAGTTTACAGGGAGGCCACGCTGCCTTTTCAAAGTGCTGCTGGAGGGTTGCCAGCGATAGTAACAGAAACTGTGCTCATTGTTTAAGTGCCACTGGATGCAGGAATAGCAGACTGATGCCTGCTTTCCTTTCATTTTGTGATGATCTAATTGCAAGAGATATATAATTCCTTGTTATGTCAGGGAAGTTGTTTCTCCAGCATCTGGTACTTCTCTGATTATCTACAAACAGTATCTGAAAATTAATAGGAAATCCAGCTATTATGTAAGAAGTACTACGGGAACTGCTGCCTGCACTAAGCCTGAGAAGACTTCAGAGACAGCAAGAACTGGCTGTGTCAGTGAACATATAATTTTCTTTTTTGTTCCTTTTTTTTTTTTTTTTTTTTTTTTTTGTTTTAAACATCCTAGTAAATTACAGCCTTTGGTTATGGTTTGAAGAAATGTGTTCTACAAATGTTGTAGCATCTGTATGCTGCTGTTTTTACTGCAGCCATTGTACAGGTCATTAATCTGATCCCACATCATAAAAATTTCTCCACCCTCTTCGTGAGTTTCTTTGTTATCCTAACACTTTCCAATGCCTTGACGCCTGACTCTGCTATGTTCCCTTATAATTACCTGGGGTAGAACAACAGGTTTTTTATCCTCAATGCACTTGGCTCCTGCAGTGGTGCTCCCATCTCTGTAACAGACTGCACATCCAGCTCTGATGGGATGGAACTGGTGGCCAGGGAGACATCTGGGCAACAGACCCTCCTCTCTCATCCCCATCAGCTGCTTACCAGGATGAGCTCATGTCAGGAGCCTGAAGAGGAGAAATGGCAGCTGCAGATGCTCCCATGTCTGATACTTGGTTTTACCCCTGTAATCACTGTCAAACAACTCTGTGCATGGGTTGTTGCCATCCAGTGATGTGCAAGGGGAATGGTTAAGCAAACCCCTCCTAAGCAAGGTGAGGGGAGCTGGCAGGTTTGCCTGGGCTGTGGGGCAGGTGTATAGTGGGCAGCAACAAGGACGGTCCAGCTGTTGCAAAGCTTAAAGTGAGCACTGCTGGGAAAACAGTGGGGATTGGAAAGAATAATTTTTGGGAACTTACCTGAACATGAGTCCCAAAAAGTGTCCAGGAAGGAAGACCACATGGGAGCATGTCAAGGGTACGGTCAGTACTTAGTACATTTAAGTTTAGTCTGAAGTGATGATCTCCACCCAAAGCTAGGTAAATTTCACCAGCTTTTCATAACAAGCAAGAGGACAGTGCTTCAGGTTTGCTGCCCAATGGGTAAACATTCTCCCAAGGGTACATGTGTCCTTGGGCACCCAAAATGCTATTGCATCCCATATCTGTCTGTGTCCAAAAAATCACTACTGTCTGTTTACGGCCCAGCGGCACAGCCAGAAGTGCAACTGCATTACGGTCAAGGGCACGAATCCCTTTCAAAGGGTCGGGTCTGACACTGGTTTCCCTTTGTCTCCCCATTTGCAGCTGGCAGTGGGGGCTGCTATCTTGGAAGGGGGTGGTACCCTGCCAACTGAGTGTCTCTTTGTTCCTGTGGAGCTTGTGATTTAGCAATTTTGTATTTAGTTATTATTCACTGCTATTTTTTTGCCTGTTGCTGTTTCACTTGTTAGTAACAAATTTTTCCACTTGTATCTACTGGTATTAGTTCTTTACTGATGGAAATAGATTGATTGGACCTAAGGGGAGGTAACTCATTTTTAGAGTGTCCACTTTAAATTGTCTTAAACCAAGAAAATATGTCAGGGAGGATGAAGGGGATCTGGTTACCTCTGGGAAAAAGACCTGACATTTTAGGCCAGGTAGTATTTTTAAGGAGGGACATGGTTCTTGTCTCTGGGGTGCATTCTGACTCATGTTGATGATACACTTTCCTCCATTTTTCCAGGACAGCAGCTTCTGTGGGCCCATAGCTCAGGGAATTCTCAGTGTGGCTTTATCTGCAGATTGACTCTCTGACAGGGCTAGCCTGTGCCACCTCAGCCTTCACAGTTTACTTTCCCAGGCATATTGTCTAAGCTTCAGCTGATCAACAGCATTTTCTAAGAGTACCAATAACCTCACATTTTTCAGGCAGCAAGCCGTGACAAGGTTGAGGCACACTAAGCCAGCAGCACCATCCCTTGCTGGTGCCAGGAAATTTAGTAACACTGACAGCTTAAAGAGTCTCCATTTTCCATAACTGTAAGCTGAAAGAGAAATTCATGGCACTTAATATTTTCAAAATGCAGATGCTGAGTTTCCTGAAAACTTCTGTGTAACCACACTGGGATTTGTGTTAGGAAGTCAGTATTTCAGCCAGAGATCCTTAACACAACTGACTGCAAAAAAAAGGGTGCCGCTCTCCTGCATGGGGCTGAGAACAGGGAAGGAAGCTTCCTCACAGGAAACTAAACCCATATTAAGTTTGTGGCCAGAAAGTCTTAGAAATGGACTGATCATTTGTGCCTGTTCCTACCATCTCCACTTTCTCCACACTGTCTGAAGTTGGCATGAGTTCTTACTCCCAGCGCTTAGTGCAGTGGAGAATGAGACATCCTAACAGTGGCTTGAATTTGGGCTTCCCCTTGAAGACTAAATGCAATTTTACATGAATTTAAGTCAAACCAACACCCCACTTGAGCAATATGGAGGAATGTCTTCCTTCAGATAAAAGCATTGCTTGCCCTAGGAAATAGTAATTCTTCTTCTTTTTTTTTTCCCACTCACAAACAGGGACTGGTCAGATGTACTCAAGAGATGATGCTGACTTTGGGGGTACGAGCCAAAAGTAGAAGCATGTGGCTGGAAAGGAGATTGGTGTTTTTAACTTTGGCTGTGTGGTTTTAGGTGAACTTCAGGTGAAGCTGTCAGACTGCACTACAGAAGGCAACAGATATTTGTGGCAGTCTCTGCAAGCAAGGAGAAAAAAGAACTATAGTTTCTCTTTTTTCCTTTGCTCCATAAATTATGTTCCTATGTCTTAAGATATAACTATGAGAGGATTAAGTTTGACTGGGTAGAGAAGTGTGTACAAATGTATGCCAAACAGAAGAGACTATTAGACCAGTCCAGTGCAGAAGCTTGTTCCTCTGTGCTCCCAGGTTTATGGTTTTAGGATACATCCCTGGGCTTGGGGACCAGACAATGTCTTCCAAGGATCCTCTAAATGGTCTCATCACTTCTGCAGGAGCCTGGGGAGCTGTACTCGTCCCGTGCAGTCAGGTACGCTCTTCAGTTGTTTGGACTCTAGCCAAGAAGCCTTTTTGTACGTGGTCACTATAATCTGAACACTAGTAAAAGTAGTGGTCAAAGGCAAAAAAGGTAGCATTTTCCAGGCCCTTTAAAGCTTTGACAAAGGTACTTTGGCAGAAACAGCTGCCTAAGACATTACTGGCTTTGGGTATCCTCCTCATACACCTGCTAACGGCTTCTGCTTCCATAGCTGACAAAAGTCTGGCAGGGGTTCGGTCACTTCAGGCACCAGTTTGACATCTTAAACCCAACTTAACAGCAGCCCTTTAAGTTAAATTGCCTGATTTGACCTTGAAACGGACTGGCAAGCATTCAGACAGTCTTCTAGAAGCTGGCAGAAACAAGTACTGGCCTTGAGGAATGCTGTCATCTTCAGCAACCGCAGGCTATAGTAACCATCTGTCCAAGTTTCAGGTCCCTCTAAAACTATTTCAGAAACCTCACCTTAACTTTTCATAGCTTTTTGTTGGTGCTTTGCTGTACATACTGCACCAAATATAATGTAGTTGGCTTTGCAAGAGCTGCATGCCCTAAATTCAGTGAAAATACTTGGATAAAGAGAGCATTTGCTGTTCAAGCCATTAAAATTATACATCGTCATCCCTTTGGAAGAATGAGTATGGTCCCAACATGAATTAAGATCCCAATTTTAATGTTTAAAAACCAAGAGGTAACAGAGAGATCATAGAACTTGATACATTTTATTTACACATAGAAACTGAAAAACTGTGTCTTTTATTTGGATATGAGCAGCACAAAGTTAACAGGTGCTAAAAAGAGCAAAATATTACCGATGACTCACTTCAACAATCTATTAGACATGAGCTTGTATGAAGCATACATCATTCAAACAACATTGTTTATACTGGATCTGTGTGAGCCTTAGCATATGTTGGGACACTAAAACCAGGTTTCTATAAACAATGAAAAGTTCAAGTCTAGTGGAAAAATACCTTTTCAGTTTATATTTTGTTGGCTATAACACTGAAAACAAAACATACACTGGTATTAATTTGAAAAGTTCTGTAGAACTGACTGTATATAGGGTTTTCCCCTCAAATTTGTGCTCATGATAAAAGCAAATGTTATTTCAAGTTTCATTTTCATCCAAGCCCATAAAGTAAACATGGAAAAAACCCACAATTCTTTTTAGATGCATTTCTTAACCTCCATTTTTCAGCAGTCCCGAAAAAACATTTCCATGCTTTACCAGTAAGAAAGTCTATGCAAGGCCTCTGATGGATGCACTCTCAGGAGATACCCAGCCCTCACCCCTGGACACAGCTATCCAATGACCTCTGCCTGTTCACAGAGTGGGATGTGCAAGCAGTCCCTGGCCAGGGAAGCTCTTGGCAGCCTCAGGTGCCAGCATTTTGGTTGCATGAGAGCAGCAGAGTGTGAGGCAGACCAGCCACGGGACTCTGCAGGAAGGGAGGGGGCTGGAAATGGCACCAGTTGCTCTGGTTGCTGCTGAACCCTGGCTTGCCATACTTTTTTTTCTGAACTACTGGCATTTCTGGTGGCTGAAAATGGAAATGCAGAAGCTCTGCCCTGACTTCTGTTTGTACTAGTTGGGTAAATACACGCCTGGATACAACACAGCATAATGCTAGGTCAAACTGCTGGCTGCAGTTTGCCATGGTTTCTTCCATAAACCCTTCTCAGCACCTTACTCCCAACTGACCCCAGCTGAGAAGGTAAGAGGGATCTGGGTACCAAAGGGGCCCTTTAACAAGGGAGATATTTTACCCAACAGGAAGACTGGTAGACTTGCTGTTGAGAAAACAGGGAGTCATGCACTGGAATTAATCCTAGCAATTTAACTGGACCTTTTATTTCTCTTTTTACTTTAGGGATGTAATTATAATTTCAAGTTTAGAATTTAACTTGTGAACTCTTGGGAGAAAGAAAAGGATATACATTTTGCTAAGAAGCTAAAGTATTTGTATTTCTATTAAAATTATTCTTAATATGCAGAGCCTATCTTAACACTTCCATTCATAGGGGATAACCAACTGCAAAAATATACAGCATCCTATTTATTTACAATATATATGTACATAAAAATGAAATTTCCTACAACACAACTGCATAGATTTGTCTTCAGAAACATAGGTATGTGTACAATTTGTGAATTCTAGACTTTCCAGCCCAGTACCTTTTATTAATTCATTTTCTTTTTTTTTGTTTTTCACAGTTCATTACAGAAATCCTTACATTAGATACAAATAAAACATTCTTTGCTGTACGTTACAGGAAATAAGGATTTTCTGACGCCAAGGGCTCTGGGGATTTGTTTATGAAAGCACCGTGGCGCCAGCTGATAAAGCCATCTCATGGAGCTGCTGATGGAGCTGAGTACATTCTGTGGTGCCTTTCTCCTACAGGCACTGGGGTGGGGCAGTAGGACTGGAGGTGGGACACCACCACATGAAAGTTTTGTTTTGACCAAGGTGCTCTTTAGCCTTAATGTAAGGTTCAAGCAAAGAAATGTATAAATTTATAGATAAACTAGACATACCATTAATTGTTACTGTTTAATACTCCATATCAGAGAGCTGTGTTGCGCTTATGCATTGTAAGGCAGATGTACAGACAAAACCCACACACCTTCCAACCCACACTTGCATGTGTGACCTATTCAGGTGGAGCACAGGCTTGGGGTTCATATGTGGCTCAGAAGAGCAGCCCTCAGGGTGGATGAGCATTCTCATCCCTGACCTCGCAGGATGACACCAGCTCTTGTGCCCTAGGCTTGCACATGTGCCAGGCACCCCTTGGTCTGTGCCAGCTCTACAGAAGGTCTGTGCTGGTGCACAGATTTGGCACTGGCCCTCTAACCAGGAGCACGCATCACCCAGAGAGGTCACTGCCCCGAGACACTGTTCCCAAATAACAATTTACTGTGTTTTACTACCTAGGCATGTTTGCCATTGGACAGAGAAGGGCAGCTGTATTATGGCTGCTGTAAGCCCATAACTATTTTCTTTGCAATGTGCTGTGGACTAGGACAGGCAGCAAGGCTGTCTTTTAAGTGTAGGATTAACTCTTACAATCTTATTAGTAATCCCTGCTTCTAATTAGTCCTTCCTAGTCCCTCACCACTCGATTGTTGCTACTACACAAATAAGAATTTTAAAGATTTTTGTTGCAATTATTAGGAGCAATTTTGCATACAGTCTATGACATTTGCAGTGCTCACAATAGTGATAAACTCTCTATGAAAAGAAAGCATGCTATCATCTACTAAGTAGATATGGTACTCTGGATCCTATTAATTTTACAACAGAGAAACTCCTACAGTATTTCACTGTGCTCTTAAAATCCTAGCTAAAATGTGGGACTCGTACAATCGCGGCTACAGGTTCACTATTCCAAATGAACTGAATAACAGCAGTACATTTTACAGATAACCTCATACAAATATTGTCATCCATCACTGATGTTGACAGTTACAGCAGGGTCTATTGCATTCTGTTAAGAATGTATAAACCTGATGAGAAAACAAAAAGCACGTTATTTGACGTTCATTACCACAGACATCAAAAACACATGATTCCTTTCCATAAATATCTATAAATATGATGCCAGTAAATCAGTCTAAGCAAAATTCCTTTTTTTTTTTTTTTTTTTTTTTTATCGAGACCCAGAAACAAAGTCTGTTTAAAGACTTAATATTTTGGGTATCTATTTTTCAGTATATAAGACATGCTTTGGTGGTTCAGTACCTTGGGTAATTTCACTTCTATGCACACTCAGCTCATTATCCCTATTTATTCAGTAAAACTCCAGTACACAAATAAACTGGGGAAAAGGAGAAGGCAGAATAGCAAAGAGGAGAGAGAGGAATGGTGATGGAGGAGATTTAGGAAGATGAACAATCACTGACCCAACAGCCCTTCAAGTCGAAGGAAGTTGGGTGCCAAAACTCAATGGTTCGTATTTCAAACAGCAGACTACAGACTATTGGGGGGGGGGGGGGGGGGAAAGGAGGAGGGAGATGTCACATATGGGATCTTGCTGGAATCCTGTGCAGCAGATCAGACCTCTAGCTCATACCTGGATACTTGAAAATCTTTCCCAAGATCTTGTCTCTCACAACCCCCCAGTGCACAGCACTGTGCTGCTCATTAATCAGTAGTAGAAGAAAGACAAGGGGAGAGGAAAGCAGGAGAGCCTGATAGCATCTTAAGGATAACACTGCACAGCATTCTCAGGTCTGAGTTAGGTTTTTAGGATAAGATCCAGAGAGATTATAAGGCACCTCAAAACCTGAAATGCAATCTCAGCAAGCTGAGTCAGAGAATGGAGTGAGATGCTGGGCTTCTACTGCAGTGACCACTGAGGGTTCGGAGCCTGCAAAAGGAAAACCATAAATTTACATCCCAAGCTGAGAAGATGCCTGGAATGAGGCACAAAGAGATAGGAATAAAGCACAGGCTCTTCTCCCTAGAGCTTGCCTAACACCTGGTCTTGTAGGCTATAGTATGGGCTTCTCTGTGAATAAGGGCAGGGATCAGTCCCATAAGGGGACAGCATAGAAAGAACCAGTGACCTGCACCATCACAGATAAGGGTCTGAGACCACCCACAGGAAAGTACAAGGGATCTTAGTGAATGGGCTCCAGGTAGCTCAGCAGTTTGTATGTCAAAGGCTGAGCTAGGGGGTGCTTGGGAGAAAGGATGATGCACCAGAGACCTTGCTGGGAGGTTTCCAGTTTTGTTCTTGCTGCTGGGCTACTCCAAGTAGTTTGGAAGCTTGTGGAATCCACTCTGCCTTATTTCTGGATCACAGTGAAGTAGCATCAAAGGCAAGCACCTCACTGCCTATGCTAAGGTACAGATCTGGCAGTCTGAGTTTAGTAGGTTTAGTTTCTGCAGCATGAACAATCTGCAACTCAATGCCCAAATTTCTAAGAAGGCCCCAAACTAACCTCTCTGGATGTTATCTTTAGAAACCAACTTTCAGGGTCCTGAGATGAGTTCTGTGATCTCAACTCTCAGTGACTTGAAGTGATGGTAAGGTGTTACATTACAAGGTAATGGCAAATGGGGCAATTCAGTAGCTCACAGAAATCCCAAGATCCCAAATACTCTATCCCTAACCTTAAAAAGAGTAAGTTGCAATGACAGGTTCTTCACAGCTGATGATGGTCTGTTTCCACAGTTACAAAGGGAGCTGTCAATAAAGCAGCTACTGAGAACAAGAGGGTCGCTGCATACTGACAGGTATGGTCTGAGCATACCAAGGGCATCACAGCCCTTGGGCATGAAGTGGGGCTCCCTCCAGCTCCCTCCAGAATATGAACGTGGGAGCCATGTTCATATTCTGAGGCACTCCTTAGCTCACATGGTGAATGACATAAGGTGAACACGTTTATGCTGCTGGCAGTGCACTAATAGAAGATGCCTGCTCAGGTCAGTGAGTGATCATCTGCTTAGCTTTTGAGTCTCTACATGTAGTTCTCTACACCAGCTATAAGGCATTAGGCAAATGCTTATTCTGTGGACAACTGTTCCAAGTTACAGTGTTTCTGCTAATAGAATATCTTCTAATTGGTATGCAGAACAAATGAAAAATGTAAATGAAATCTTTTAAATATAAAAAGTATTTCTGTTCAGTTAAAGAAATGTTGCAGATTTCAATTTCCATTAGAAATCTAGTAGTGTGAATCAAATCCTGCTCCCACTGCTGTCAAAGACCCCACTGACTTCAGTGGGAGGGAGGGTAAGACACACGAGAGGAGCCAGTCCCTACAAGGTATGGAAAAGGCATGAGGTATGATGAAATGCGTAGGTTTTGATAAAACTGGAGCTTGGTATTTTTTTTCTGAGACCAATGGGGCATTACTAAATAATTTAATGCTGAAGAAAATGCAGACTTCTTATGGAAATCTCCAAATGTCTGCTTCTCTTCAGACTCAAGTACTCATGGGGTCAAGTTCTGGTCAGGTTTGGGGTCAAGTTCTGGTCAACCTCCAGCTCAAGTGTGCCAGAGGAATAGCGGCTGGTGGTGGTGGCTGTCCTTCTCCTGCTCCCGGCTCCGCACCACAAAGACACACACACACACAGACACACCCAGTCTGTTCCCCAGAGCCATGAATGGACCAAGCCCTGGGCCTGGTTTGCCCCCAGAACATCAGAGAAGCACCGGATTTAGGACCTACGCTTACACAGCCTTCGCTACGCTCTCGTGGTGCTTTTCATGCCTGTATCCAGAATGCTACACTTAACCCAGTGAGGCAAATGGTGCCTGGAACAGCAACAGAACAAACAAACAAACCAACAAACCAGATACATACAATTAGAGAGAAGAGTTTTGGCTAAAAGAGGGGGGAAGGATGTGAACGGACAACACTCCAGTTGGAATTGATAGCAACAGGCGCTGCTGTCCTAAAGGAGCAGAGCTTGTGGCTGGAGGGCTAAGGAAAATAATGGAACAATGCAATTCATGGGTGGAAGAGGGGAAACTAATTGTGACGAATTTCTGTAAGTGATGCTCTATATAATCTCATGGACAATTAACACAGACTTTTTGCTGATCAGAGAGTGACACCGCCTGCTGGAAGAATGGGTCTGTTTTCTGCAAGAAAATACTCCCATGACAGTATTTTCAGTACTGGATAATCATTATTTGGATTTGATTTGAGTAAACTCACAAAGGGTGGAATAGACAACAGAACGGATGGTTGCGATTTTGGTGTGTAGCAAACAGGGGTATCTTCTTTTGGGAAGAAGGTGAACTTCAGTGGCCTTCGGCACTGCCTCCTGATTGTACCCAGTCATAGATGACCAAGGGAATGCTCACCAGGGAAAACAATACCCCCAGTGCCAAAAAAAGATAAGCCTGAAACAAGAAAAAAAAAGAGAGAAGATTAACGAATAAAAAGAAAAGACAATTCAAGTATGTTAACTTCTCTTAAGAAGATGTACAAGGTGATGTAATAAAGTTATCAGCTAAAATGAGCTAGCACTTCTGGTAAAGACAAGACCAACAGGTAATTAAACAGATTAGTGCCATTAATAATTACTTGCTGAACATGAAACTAATTTTTTTTCCTTTCAATTCCCTTCTTAAACACTGATCACCTCTAAAGATGATTAAGTGAATCTGTTTTTAGGACAGATCAGCTCTGCTCTTTCCAAAGCCCCACAGAAATCAGTATATTCTTCCCACTGGATATGTGTTCATCTAAGTTCAGCCCTTCTGTCATGGGATCTGTGGATGCAGCCAAAGTGAAACAAGTTTCCTACCTGTCTGCTCAGAGAAGAAAGGTCTAACTGTAAATGCTTCCAGTGCATGCCCCATTAGACTGGGAATAACAGGAATGCTGCATCTTTTCAGCTGCAGCACTCTCTGGAGCTCACAGGAAATCTTTCCAAGGTCCATTCCTATTTGCTCATGCGTGCCAAATGGCTAACATAACACTTCAGCTGGCTGCTTCGTGTGGAACCACCCTAGGTCTGACTCAGGTCCATTAAAACCATGGGGAATACTGCAAATGGAGCACTTTGCATGCTTTCTGGATCAACACACAGAAGCAGAGAGAGATTGCTGCACTGAAAGGCTTCTTGAAGTGGGCTGGGGCTGGAGGGCTTCCTGCACCCTGCTGACAGCTGCTGCTGCTGCTTGCCAGCCTGGGAAGTACCTCATCCCACAGAGAAGGGTCTCCCCAAAACACAAGATGCTGTGCATGGCACGGCCCCTCCACCAGGGGACTCCCCGGGTGAGCAAAGGAGAAGGGCAAGCACAGCTGCCAGCTGACTGAGGTACAGAGGGAATGTCATGTAAAGGAGCTCACACATATGTTCAGACTAGGTCTGCTTTGCACCTAGCACATTAAAGAGAACGACAAGATGGAGGTGTTGCATCGATGGGAATGGAATTCATACCCAAATCCTCTGAGTCAACTTTGATCCATCCTGCTGTGTAATTTTTATATACAATGATGAAGGAAGAATGAAGATCAGCATGTTGGCAGAAGTGACCCCTGCAAAATTCAAATGAAAGAGTTTTGTTAACTGTCGGCAACAGCTAATTATTGCGTTGCTGATTAGCAACTGTTTTTTATTAGCAGGACAAAACCAGGATACTCTACCTACAACTCCAAAAATATCCTTCATGGATGGGATAAAAATGACTAACAGGTTGATGATAACCAAAAGAACCAAAGTAACCACAATATGACGGCATAAGTCAAATTTTGTTTTTCTGGCCATCTCGAATAATGATGAACGCACCTGTAGGGGGAGAGAGAGAGGAAGTTTTCTGTCAAGATCAGTCTATGAGCTTCCCATGTTTATTTTAATTGGTTATTCATGTGACAAGTGCTGCATAGATCTGTCAGAAATTTTGGGTTGCCTGAGGTAATGTCCTTTGAAATACCCCTTAAAATTAATTTTTATTTCAGAACTGTAGGGACATGTGCATGTGCAGTAGGATATTCCTCTTTAACATGCCTTTTTGAATCCTTCTGCACTTTAAAAGGAACTTCACCTCTGAGCCTGCTCCAGTAAAGTGATGTGACATAAGAGAGGATCCTTGTGGATTCAATTTAAAACAGGTTTACCAAAAGTGATTTATTTATTTACTATATAGAGAACTTCTCCAGAAGTTAGTGGGCATCTGGCATGAGAAAAGACTAATCCAAGCTCAAGCTCTTTTTGTAGCTGCAACACTGTAGTCTCAGCCACCACTGGATTGTGGTTTGAAGAAATGTGCTGTGCACAGCTGTTACCAACTTCCAAACCATGCAGACCTTTTTACTTACAGTGAAAAACAGCACTGGCACGGTGAGAATCACTGCCACGATCACAGCCAAGCGCACAGTCAGGATGAGGATGTCATCTTTGCTCTGGTATTTGTGAAGCAGATCTGACTGCACATTCTCTATGGGAAAGACAGTAAGGTAAGTGTTCTGGCAAAAAGGCAATTAGTCCACAAAAATCATTGCTTAACAACAGCCTTCTTGAACAACAAGTGATTTATCTGTAAACAAAAGAGTATGGAATGAAACATCCTTGAGTTAATACAGCACTTTAAACAAAATCCCAATGATCCCATTATTCCAGATTAATTCTTTGGAGGCCTGATTTAGAAATGCATCTTAATTCATGACAGCACAGGCCTGAGTCTAAAGTAATTTTCACTGTAGAAAAGACAACAGTGAGACATACATGAAAGCTTGCTCACATATATACATTTATACAAAAATAGGTAAAGTGAAATTAGCTATTTTTAATTGGTTCTGTGGACTTTTTTTAAAGTTCCAAATGATATAAAAATAAAGACATGCACTGCAATGGCTGAACTTAATATAAACTGCAAGGTCTTGAGCTAAATTCATTTAAACAGCAAATAAACTTCCAGCAAAAAGCAGTGCCCCTGTTCTCAACTGAGAACAAAGCCTATCTCAGGTCAGCTCTCAGCAGGACACTCTGACATTTGCACTCGAATCCTTCAGCAGCTCCTCTGAGGGCTGCCAGCAGAGCCTGCAGCTCAGCTCCACGCTGGCCAGCAGCCCCAGCAGCCAAGACAAATCACAGGGGGTGCTTAACAGGGAGGTGCTGGCAATATTTTAATACAACCTCCTGCCAAAATGTTTCCTTGAAGCTGTGAAAAATAGTGCAGAGCAGGTCTGCGTGTACTAACCAGCAGGAAAACCAAGTTGCTGAGGGACCTACATGTTTGCTTTGTAATTTTTAAATATCCAGGAGCAATAACCTAAAGGAGTGGCTGTTAAGCATGCCACCAAACACACTTGCTGCCCCTTTTTAGGCCCTTGTTACTGCTTGCTAATCTTAGAAAGCTGGTGGTAAAACATAACAGCTCTTAAAGGGAACTCAGTGGCCACGTCTAATTTACCATCTTTGGCACTTGGGAAAACCTCATGTATTCCTGGAGGCAGAGGGATCTGTTCTGTGGCAAAATGCCTACACTCCCCCCAGGGCACCCTTCTGGGTAGAGACCACAGGTCAACACCACCTAGGCAGTGCCTGAATCCCCACCAGGAGAAAGAAAACGCTCTCCCACCTCCCTGCAGATCAGGAGTGGGGTTTTCAAGCCGGGCACATGCACAGCTTCTGCAACACAGAGCTTACTCTGCTCCTGCAAGCACAGACTGCAACTTCTGTACCGCTCACGGGCTGCAGCCAGGTAGGAAGTGAAGGGCAAGGCTTACAGTTGAAGGTCTGTTTTCCTTTCAGCTAGATACACCACAGAGCCCAACCACACTGTGACCTTTTAGGGGAAGAAAAACACCTCTTTTCTGTAATTCTGCAATGTAAATATAGTCATCACTGCAACACTTGTGAGAACACAGCAAACAGACAAGTACTATTGGTGTAAAGAAGAAATGGTCACAATAAAAATACTGTTCTTACCCAGGTAAGGGTAGAGAAGAGGGTTAGAACACTGTAAGTGAACATATGAAAGGTAAGGACTTTTTGGTCTCAAGGGGAAGAATGAAGGAATTTTATGGAGGAATTCTACATTCCCTCAGTGTCTTTTTTGCAGCCTGTCACTGCACTGACACTGCAGAAGCCCCAGCAGAGCTCTCCACAGCTTCCACCTGTGGGCTGTCAGTGCTGGAGAGCAGGAATGCCTAATGTGGGGAGAGGCACACAAGACACCCCAGGGATTCCTCCGCCATTCCCCCTCAGGAGGGCCAGAAGGACGCAGCCCCTACCTCCTCCATGGACTCCAGACCCTCGTCCTTGAGGGGTGTGGGAGCTTCCCAGAGAGGAGCGCCACAGATCTGCCTCCTCAGATCCCTGGGGCAATCACATCAGAATCTCCTCCCTGCCAAAGCGAAGGGGTCCATGCTGATTTACACCCACTTGCTCCCTGGGGCTGCTAATTTGATGCATCTCTACGAAAATGTGTTAGATGGGAGCAGCTGGATGAGAGCGGCTGATGCTGTTGTCACTTGCAGCCTATTTGTGGGTTCATTGGGAAAATTAGAACAGATGACCTCAAGTTACTTCAACACATGGATACTCAAGGCCTCATAATCAGAATGAGAGTTTGAGAAAGCAAATATGAGATTTGGTACAGCTTTGGGGAAAAAAAAGCCACATTTCATATTTACTTATTTTTTTTCTCTTGCAATTGGTGGCTCACAAGGGACATTATCATGAATGAGGAGGTTGTAACAAAAATGCCACTTAGAATAGGGTGGTGAAGACTGATGGGTGACTCTGAGGTAAAAGGCAAACATCAGCTTTGTCACCTGTCTTGTAACCCCTTAGCAGTCCATGGAAAAAGACACTACTTTTCAACATTCTCATGATACTGGAATATGGGAGTTCCTGGGCAACATTTGTATTTTATCCTACTTTACTTAAGAATTGTGCCTTTAGGGCATGCATATTGTATCCTTTAGTGATACAATATAATTTGTTTGTTAACTGAATTGATATGCATAGAAAGAGACAGGGTGGGAGTCTCAAACACTGAGATAATCATCCTTTGGTGGCCGAGCTGGGACAACACTCAAAGCTTCCCCACCTTCACTGCAGTTTGTTTAACCAAGACCTTAAGAGGTCAGCTCTAGGGACACAGGGAAAACATTTGGTCTGTTGCCTCTATGACGAAAGTGTTACTAAGAAAGTGAAAAAGCTGTGATGGCCAATTTGTTACTCATTTCCTAGGACCTGCTCTCAAAACTGTCTCAACTTTTGCAAATATGCATGCTTCAGCCATTACCAATGCACACATCATTCAGGTGAGGACCTTGGAATAAAATAAAATCTTAGTGGGGCCCAGCTAATCCTCAGTTCTGTAAAAAAAATCTCTCCCTCATATTTTGAAAATGCCTTTTGCAAATAATACTTTCACTTGTGCATTTCATCCACAGGGAAAGAGGAGAAAAGGATTTATACCTACAATATGAGAACTACAAGGAAAATTATTTGGAAAAGTACTTTAATATAAGTGGATGGGACTTTCCTTTCCAGCTGGGATACACTATTGATTTGGCATGTATCCCCTTTCTACTCCGATCAGTAAAGAACCCCATACTTACCGTAGAAAGTCAAATAGCCAAATATGGCAGTCATAAAGTACATCAGAAACATGGCAAAAAATGAGATATTTGAAACCAACTGCATTTTTTTCTGTGAACGGCTGGAGAAAGAACAAGAAAAGAACACATAAGAATGGTTTGGCTGGATTTTTCCATAGCTGTTTCAAAATGTATTAGGTGTTTGCATAAGCATAGTAATTCTGGGGAGACTCATAAATGCATTTTCATTTAAAACAGTAACTCACTGACAGCTGCACAAGGAAGAAAAGGACTGGGGAAAAGGACCCTTCTTGGGGCTTAAGTGAAAAAACAGTGGGTGTGACCTGTGGGTCTGCTCCATGTCTGTACCTGCTTAAACAGTGAAGCCATGTGGAGACAGGATGACACTGAAACACTTTGGTAATTAAATTAAAAGGTCAAAATGAAGGAAGTATAAAATTATTCAGAGAGAAAAAAAACCCAAAATGTTCTGAATGACTGCAGAGAAGTATCTGTGTCCCCATGTGCAGAAAATTCTGGATTTATGCTGACCTGTAAAATAGGTTAAGTGTAACCATTTAATCTTTAGATATTTATTCTGAAGTATGAACACTCCAGTACCTAAGCTCAGACTTTTAAATCCACATAAGGTTGCCCTAACAGGTACCTGGGAACCTGCTCAAGTGACTTGAAATTTAAAGCACCCAGCAAGCGTCTGAGGGCAGTCATGGGTCTGACAGACCCTGACCTCTCCCTGGGGCTGCCCCATGGCCCAGGACCCCACTGCAGCTGCCCAGGGCTGTCAGCAGTGCCACAGCAGAGCTGGTCTCCAGCTCCCCACAGCCCACCCATCCCAGCTGGGGGTGTCAGTGAGACAGCAGTACCAACAAAGGTCTTTTAGTATCAGTAAGGCTGAAAGCACTTTTATTTTCCTGGTACTGCAACAGACTTTTGGTTGCGCTAATGCTGTGGAACAAACACTGTTAGCAGAACACACGCCTCTCCTGTGCCAAATATCAACTGGCAGAACTTGGCTCTCCCCAGGCTGCTGTGTATTCCAGGGAAAACTCCCAAGTATTGCATTATTCTCCACCTCCCTCGCCCCTGCTCCAGGGGCACAGCATGCCTGGAGGCCAGATTTCCTAGCTGACAGCCATGCTTGATGAGTGTTACTAAAGCACACCTCTGAGTGGTACAAATGACTCAGAGCACCTCTGTGCTAACACTTTCCATGTAAAATGGGTCAAAACAATAAACTGTTTAAAAAAAATAAAAAAGGCTTACTCTTTAAGTTCGCTGTAAATCGGGAGGACTGATGGGTGGCACACAAACGCAAAAGCAATGGTGGGCAAAGCGTACACGGTCTGTTCAGAGAGAATTTCAGAAAATAAGTTAAGAAGAAGTATTTTCCCCAGTGGTCTGAAGAAATGTTCCATGTTCAACTACCTCAGCTCCAAGCTCTCTGGACTCTTCAAACAAACAGAGAGCCTTTCTGAGAAGGCAGAAGACCTGTCCCTTAGCATGTGTTTAACAAAATGGGGAAACCAGGGCGCTTTCAACAGGAGGACAAAGTCTTGCCTTGGTGGCATCAGCGCAGCATTGATTGTGCTCACAGAGCACAGAGCTGGCTTTGCCCCCTGGGATGGGTCTGCCTGCCCAGCTACTGCCACTGTCACTAGCACAGTGTCACAGTGTCACGCGTGAAAGGGATGTGTGGTGGGTCACGGCTACGCTACCCTGCCTTGGCATGGAGAGGGGTGCGCGCCCATGGGGCTAAGGCTGAAGTCCTGAAGAGGAAGCCCGTATCCAGACTGTAAGAAAAGAGAACAGGAATGCAGAACTTACAAAGAAATGGATATTTCAAGGTACCAGACTGAATCCCTTAATTTCACAGGCCAACAAAAGGACCAGGAGAGCTGTGGAGGGACCATGCTTTTTCTTGGGGAAAGAGAAAGACCATTATGTGACCAGAAAGGGCAGAAGGCCTCCAAGTGGGACCTCAGCCCCTTCTCCACTAACAACTTGGGTGGGTTTCAGCCCTCAGCCAAACTTCAAAAATGGTATCAGTGCTCAGGCACTTCCATTCTCCTGAGGGAACAGGTATGAGCAGAGGTCACATACCTGAAATTATAGGTAATTATAGGTCCTCCTCTAAGGACAACATGAGTCTATTCTACATGCAGCTCTGTCCTGCCCTCTGAGATCTGCTTGTGCTGGTCACAGGCATCCCCTTCCCACACAAGACATCCTCTGGTGCACCCCAGGCCTGACAGATTCAGTAAATGTGCTGGTTGCTCTCCAGAGGTCCTTCCTTGCCCAGGCCTTTGCCACCTCTCCCTCACTCACAGCACAGTACAGTTGTGGTGTCTCCATCTGTAGGGATATTCAGAAGTTGCCTGGACACAGTGCTAGGTGGCCTTACCTCAGCACAGAGGTTTGACCAGGTGATTTCCAGGTCTCTGCCAACCTCAGTTGTCCTGTTCAGTGAAACTGTCCTGTCTCTCCTCTCACACACTGAAGCTGCTAAAAAGACTGGCAAACTGTTGGCCCAGAGGACAAGCCTCTGGAGTTCAGCTCCTAATTCAGATGGACTGATCCTTCCGTGGTGCCTCCATTGACTCTGAGGCAAATGCTGACACTCATTGAAGACTACCCTTCAAAATTTACAGAAATATACCTACACCTAAGCTGCCATGGCACAGCAAGTTAACTAATTCTTGGTTCATCATGATGGATCTGGGGTGATGGTTACTCCCAGCCAAAGAAAAGTGCTTCACCTGGCTTCTTCAACTGAAGCTGGTGGGTTAAATTTAAAAAAAATATATTTGCACACCTCTGCTATAAATGTGCATTCCCTATGAAAGTGACTAAGGCCCTGAGGACCACATCCTGATGGATAAAGTGCTGTTTCACTGGGAGCACTGCATCCCAGCACAGCTGACAGGAACCATCCTCCTGCAGGTAGAGACAGCTGCCCTCTCACATTCTCTTAGACCAACTTTTTCTGCAGCTGTGTGGTGATGGAGGGAAGCATCCAGCTGAAAGGCAACCAAATTTTTGCTGGATTAACTTTCAACCATATCCTTTTCCCAGTCCAGTTCACCACATGGCTACAGAAACTTGTACCCTGTTACAAAGAAATGGTTTGGGCGCAGGACAGAGGCTTTGGGCTTTGGATGGAGATGTGACCTACTCAGCCTCTACTGAGCAACAGCCTAAAGGCACAGTTGCAGCACGGATAGTGAGCAGCAGTGGAAAGGAAAAATCTCCTGAAGAGAGCAGTTATTGTCCAGTGGTAGCTTGGGCTCGTAGCCTTAACACCTCTATGCCAGGGCAGGACAAGACTGCAAGGAGCCACATTCACCACGGCATCTCTGCAAGGCTGGGCAAGGACGCCCGCTGTGCATTAACCACTGGGTCACAAGTGGAACCGTGGAGAATCAGGCCCTTTGTGGTGCTGATCAGAATAAGAATATGGGGTGTAGGCGCATATATTATGTGAATTAAAAGTAAGTATTATAAAAAGAAACATACCTTGGAATTAAAGATAACATACTTTGGCTTACACGTATGTTCTGAGCTATTTGATAGGATAGATGATGTTGCATTTAGCCCTTGTCCATCACAGGGAATTTGAAACTTCTTGTAAATAACCTAGAATAAGAGGAGAAGACAGCTAATTGCTAAAATAATAATGAAAAGCAAATTAGAATTTAAGTATCAGTGGAATTGTGGGCATCCTGACCTGCATCAGCAATAGTGTGGCCAGCAGGACTAGGGAAGTGATCATTACCCTGTACTCAGCACTGGTGAGACTTTCCCTTGAGTGCTGTTTCCAGTTCTGGGCCTCTCACTACAAGAAGGACATTGAGGCGCCACAGCATATCCAGAGAAGGGCAACACAGCTGGTGAAGGGCCAAGAGTGAGCCATAAGAGGAACTGCTGAGGAAGCTGGGGATGTTCAGCCTGGAGAAAAAGAGGCTGAGCAGGGACCTTATTACTCTCCACAGTTGCTTGATAGGAGGCTGTAGCCAGGTGGAGCTCAGCCTTTTCTTCCAGGTAACAAGTGACAGGATGAGAGGAAATGACCTTAAATTGCACTAAGGGGCATTCAAACTGGACATTAAGAATTTTTTTTTTAATGGAAATGGTTGTGAAGCATTGGAAAGACTGCCCAGAGAACTGGTGGACTCACTATCCCTAAAAGTGTTCAAAACCACAAAAGTGGATGTTTCACTTGAGGACATAGTTTAATGGTGAAAAGGTGCTTGGTTGAGAGTTGAACTTTTCCAGTCTCTTCATCGCCGACACCTTAACAATCCTGATTCCAAGTGATTCATCCAACAAAGAAAGCAAGCTGAACTTACCACTACCAGGAAAAATACCATGCAGCTTAATGAAAATCCACTGGTATAGCCAAGGTATCCTGAAAGAAATTAAGAGGAAGTCTCATTCAGAATAATTTTATTAGTCTTATCTTGGTTTTTACTGCTTTTTGCTTCTGTGTGAAAAATTCAAATGTATTAAACATTTAATATGTGCTGTGAACTTCTGGGCGGGACAAGAGCATGTCCTGTTGGTGTGGGAGTCTCCCAAAGTCTTTCAAGTCTCCCAGCTTTTGGGCAAGCCTAAGCCTCACCGTGACCTGTTGTGATTTCCTCAGGGTCACCTTTACCACAGTTTAACTAACTTTACTTTTAAAAGAGGCTGTGATAATTGAAAAAAACCTGAAAGTGTGCAATTGCAATCTGAATATGACTCAGGTTCCCTAAGTCATGTCAGCTGAATCTCAAAAAAGAAGATCCCAAATGGACTTTGGTGCCAAATGTTACCAGGATGGTTTTTAAAAAATACACTGTGTACCTACTGGCATTGCAGTTGGATTCAAACACATCTGAAAATGCAATTCTCTGTACATACCTTACTTCAAAGTCCAATACTTCCAATTAACCTCACCAGTAAAAATTTTCATGCAGATAGAAAAGTAACATTTTTTGTAATCTCACCAGCTGTGAACATGCTTTTATAGGCCGCACATAAAATTGAATTACCTTACGAAATGAAGACCCTCTTAACTATAATTTGTAAAATCAATTTCCACAATTGTGTGGATAAAGCTGGTTAATACTGAGCTCAATCACTGTGATAATTTAGGCCTACTTTTTTCAAAATGCTCAGAACACAGATTATTTCTGGATCAGGGAGGCTACTTAGATAAAAATGAGAGCATATTTTTCTTATTATAGTTGAATTGTCAGTTTGGCAATCAGTGGCACAATATCTGGGTTCCCCTTTTCGATTCTCATGATGGCATTTTCATCTTACCTAAGTTCTTCAGGAGACATAAAGGGAGGATTATACAAAGCGTCACTGCGACAACAAGAATCCGCCCATCCACGTACCATTCCCTGTATAAAACATTAAAAAACCATACCATGAGCACATCCTAAACATTTTCTGGTTTTCCTCACTCAGTCATCCTCTTTGATTGCTGTACTTACAGAACTATCTTTGGTGTCCTTACCCTACATGTTTCTAATAAAGGACAGAAAGGATCACATCTTGGCTTTGTAGACTCATTAGGTATCCATGGCACGGCTCTGACTCAGGTAGGGCAGATTTCCAGAGTCACCAAAGTATCACCCTACCATGGAGATCCGTGCGTGGGTCTGAGAGGCAGAACCACCAGCTCTGTAACCTGACACAAGCCACCCTGCCACGACAATGAAAGATCACACAGTGGGCCAGAGAGCACAGTGGGGCTGGGGGGCCACCACGAGTCATTTGCCAAACCACCCAGGCACGTGACTGGAGCAGCAAAACAGGCTCCAGCAGGCTGGCAGGCACTAGCTAGCCCAAGTCTGCATCGCCTCTACCAAAGTGCTTTGCATCCTACTGTAAAGAAAGAAAGAGGAGAAGGGGCAGTGTTAGTGATGTTCTGTATGGCCTATTTCCATTGCTTGGTCCAGTACAGTAGGAAAGCCTAAGAATGGAATCTCTACAACCTTCTCCTACACTGCAGCACACCATACAATCCAGTGCAAGAGGTATTAACTGGTATAAAAAAATGCTACCCCTCTACTAAAGTAGCTGGCAAATGCCAAAGAGAGATAAGGGGCAGAAATCTTATTTATATAAATATTCTGCAATGGTCATGTGCTAGTAGCAAAGAATTTCACTCTGTGGACATTGTTTCAGGGGCAAAATAATGTAAGAGACTGAGAACTCATGGAGACACATAATATCTTTAATTTGCATTGTTCCCAATATTTCAAGTGTTGCCTAACACTGTAAAATATGGGATTCTATGATAAGAGCTTTGTATATAACAAAATTCTTCATGAAAAGCTGGTGCAAAAAAGGGCAACTAAAGTTTCATTCCCTATCCATTGTCTCCTTCCCAAATTTATCTTGTCTTTTATTAACCCCCTGAGATATTCCTGTGAAAATCTACTTTGACAAACCTAAAGGGTATCCAATATTTCAGACCTTTTATAAACATATGCTTAAAATTTACTATACAATGTTAAATTCTACAGTCTAAGTAACAGAACTAATTCAACTTACGAAAAAGTTTCTTCTTTTCCCATTAGGAACTTTATGGCAGAAGGCAGCTCATTTTTGACTATGAAGAGATAGCTCAACATTGCTGGAGGAAGAAGAAGATAATTTTAGAAAATGGGTAAAATAGTTTGTGGAACAAGTACCTAGAAGCATCCTTAACCTTCTCCCTCCCACATCGGTGTCTGATGATAGAAAACCTTAAATTATGACTGACTGTAAATTACTGATCACTCAGTAATGCAGTATTTTTAAAGGGCTGCATGCAAAATGATAGCCACAACTATACTGAGGACCATGAAGGTCCCTGGATGTCATGGAGAGAAGGATCCTGACTTGTTTGCAGCTGTAAAATTATTGAGATATTCCTGGCCTTTGTTTTTCAATATTCCTTATTTCCTTTACCTCCAATATTCTGAAGAGATGTAGATCCAAAGACAATCATTTTCCCTGGGGTACCAAAGATCTGCTCACCAAGCTTTTCATACACCATGCAGCCTGCATGAGAAGAAGAGGAGAAAGGTAACAAGCACACCACTGAAAGCTGTTGAGTCAAAGCATTTACGATTTCTTTTCAGCCAAGCACCTATCTATGCAGCCAAACCTGCCATTTGCAAGTAAATAGGGAGCTCCCTTGTAATTTCTAGGGCTGAAAATTATGTAGGTATATTTTCCTGACTTCTAAAAATGCTGTTGTTGGCTACCAGTCACTTCTGAAATGGAAGCTCTTAAAGAGAGTTTTACACACTTTTAATGAGTCTGTCTATACCCCGAGTGACATGTTAAGTCCTGGTATCCTCATCCCAGCATATTAAGTTTTGCACTTGCAATGAGAGTAACGCAGAAAGGCTCCTCTCCAGAAGAAACTCAGCACAGCAGGATCCACAAGTCAGCCCAGGCAGCCTGGACACACACTACTGCCATTCTGCAGTTCTGCTTGCCTTGACTGAATTGATAGATGAGGACAGCCACTGGTTTAGAGGATCATTTATGGCTTCTAATGACAAAGCCTCAACTTGTGAATTCTCAGTGTTGTGTGCTTTTGGTAAAGCAGGCAAAGGTGTAAAAGATAACTAAAATTTCTTTCCAAATATCTGTCAAGCTTGTGAAACTCCTCCATTAATTGGTTTGTGTTTATGTTAATTTTTTTTTTTACTTGTCTGTGATGTAGGCTGATAAAAAAGAGTAGTGGACATTGTGAAGATGGTGAGATACATAGGAACAGAAAGAGAAATACTGGGCAGATGATTTTTGGGATACATTTTTAAAATGATCCCATTATCTGGTTTTGTCTATATTACCTTACAGCTGACATTTCTGCTTTAAAGTTTGTGTAAAAAGTAAGTCTGAGCTTAAATGTACCAGCAACATAGAAAAGAGGACTTAGATTTTGGGTGTAATGGGACACAAATGTATCCACATTGAGGAAGATGTACCTAGCTGAAATAGGCAGTTGCTGACATTATACATATTATAACAGTAATCATATATGTCCAAATTGCATATTTAAATATTAAAGTATTCTTATGCACAGATTATTTTTTAAATATGACATTGTTAACAAGGAAACATTGTTAACATTTAGACATTGTTAACAAGGAAAGAGGCTCTTGGACTTCAGAACACAGTGTCATTTGACATAGTACTGTAGGCAACTTCTAATTTCTGTGTTGAGATAGTGTATCTGTGTTACAGTTACACTTCTCTCTGTGAAGGAACTGTTCCCTTTTATTTTTTTCTAAGAAAACTCCACCACAAAGATTATCAGGAGTTTCACACTAACCACTAAGGACAAACTGTGTTTCCAGGTAAGTTTCACCATAGGCAAAGATACATTATATTTAATTTGCAATGCAAAGAAACTATATGAGCTGTTCCTTCTATCTCACTGAAGATAACATTTCTGGGCAGCAGAATTCATTCTTTGTCACAAGTATTTCTCTTTACAGTGATGTTGTTCTTCATTGCCATTCCAAAAATTCTTCAAATTCTTGTTAATTCTAGGCTTCTGACTCAAAGTGTATCAGGCCTTCCTATTGTGTCAGCAAAGTGATAGAAAATCCCCATCTTACACAAAGCACTTGCCCTCATTTGAACACTTGTCCCCTCTTGATTTTTGCATTCTACTGAATGGTGTAGCATCTTAAATTACCTGTTTCCTTTGAACACACCAACAGGAGATGTATTGAATAAATAGACAGCAGCGTGACTGAAACCAAAAGCAGCCTAAAAAAGAACGGAAAATAAAGTTTACCATATGAGATGAGGTCTGACATTGCAATATTTCATGTCAGGTCACGTTCCTATTGACTCTGAGATAATTTTTTATTCTCCTGACAATGCAATAAGACCTAAAATACATGTGATTCACATCCTGCTTGCAGTTCCACCACAGAGGTAGAGTACTCTGCATGTAGAGGGATACAACCAAATAAGACTTAGCAGAGCTGCAGAGTTACATCTCCTCATATTGAAAAAAGCAAGAATAAAGATGTTTTATCAGAGAGGAATGAAGATTTATCAGAGCACCGACAAGCCCGGTATTTCACTCAAAGTCCATTCCAAGGCGCTTTTTTATTTTCTGGAAGCAGAGTGAAAATTTAAAACTAAGTCCTTCATTTAAGGACTTCCATACCAAATGGAAGCATCTTTTCCCAGGACATGTTTCATATGCTACCAAAGGGGTGCCCAAATGGCTTTTTATGTACCTCACAGTGACCAAGGAGGAGGAAGATGGGGGGAGTTAAGGCTAGACTGGCTTCCCTTGGGAATAAAGAATGCAACCAAAGGCTTGTACTTTGTCCAGGTAGAGATTCATGTTGCCTCACTGATGTCAGTCCTGGTCTGACATGATCCATAATTTAACTTCACACAGAAGAATTGCAGGAAGTAATGACCAAACTGTTTGTGTAGGGAACTTGCTGGCACAAATGATAATTAGTCAGTGCTGGGGGCCAAGTGCATAAAAGCACATTTTCTCATTGCTCAATGTCTTTAATCCAAGCACCATGTGTGCCTTCCCCTGCAACACTCTGACACACAAAGACCTGATGATGTTTTCATGATGTGTGTGAAGAGCATTCAGACAATCCGTTGGCAATCCCTCCTTTTATTATGACAACTACCCTCCAGACACCGAGGAAAACACAACTAAAACTCAAGAGAAAACACACTGCTGCCATAGATAGGCAGCAACAAATCTTTTTCATGGGAATACATAGAAAGAACAGAATGAGAAGCCTCCTCCCCCACTTTTTGATTAGTTTACACTGGAAATACTTTCGTGCCAAATAATGACCAACTAGTTTCTTGGGGCCAGAGGAACAGGGAGAAACATAAAGAGGTGATAGGTGGAACTGTCCTTTCGCCAGCAAAGAATGATGGCTGACAACAACAACACACTCTTTGTACAGCCCTTAGGTTGCTTCTCCTTGAGAAGGTGGAGAAGGAAAGAAAGATTGTACTAGCTGAGGTCACTCTGGTCCATTTTTTATGGATTTGCTAAGCCCTGCTGCTGCCCGCGTTCCCTGCCGAGCCGTTCCGCCCCAGTCTGCCTACAGGCTCGGCGCTCGGCCCCAGTGCTCAGCTGCAGGGCTGACTCACTCCCAGCCCCAAATGGCCACAGCTCTGCATGCCAGCATCCAGTCTGTCTTAATATTAAAAGCTTCTGTTTTTCAGGCACTGAGCTCATGGAGCCTTTGCAGTGGTAAAAATAACACTCCCAAGCAGCCAGGTATTTATCTGATCTGTTGTCCTTAGCTCCCCATAGGGTTTCTACAGACACTTGGCATTTTCATTAGCACTGTATGAAAAACTTGTTTGTCCTAGGACTGTGGTATGGACAGGAATATTCATGCCAGAACCACCCCTTGGAAAGGAATGAAAATGTCCATGCCACTCGCTCTGCACAAATTCAAAACAGAAGCAGGAGAGCTTGCACTGCAGTCTCAAAAGCACTCCTCTACTTTTTATTTTGTCTGCTTTCAAAGAAGTGCTGGTAGCTACGGAAGCCAACAGCAGATACAAAAGTTACCTACCCCCAAAAGAATAAACAGTTTAGGCTAGGGGACTGATACAGCGTTGGGAAGAACAAAGTGCTTCGCTGATGCCTTCTGCTGTCTTCTCCCAGATGCCACATTTACCAGGTAAACTGACACCTGTGCTGTCCCTCCCCTCTGTGGAGTCCCAGGCTTTGGGGCTGGAACACCTGTGAGGATTATGCAGTCACAAGAATTGTTTCACTGAGCAGTTCTGAACCCTCAAAAGGTGCAGAGGATGGAAGAGCAGAGGGTTTGCTCTCATACAGCCTCCCTGCAGGTGTGCCAGCTTTCCCTGAAACACTGCAAGAGTTACACTGCAGCTTCCTGGCCCCTTCCAGACACACCCAGCAGAAGTGGCTGCAATGTGACTTCAGCTGTAGTCTCACACTATTCCCAATCTAACAAGTCCCTCTGCCTCAGCAAGGTGTTTCAGATCACATACAGTGCTGGGTTAAACGCATGTTGAAAACACCTGGTGCTTGGCCAGTCCCTATTTCTCTGCAACGTGATCCATCACTTTGGTCCTGGCTCTCCAGGATGAAACCACAAGCAACAACAACTGCTCCTGCCATCCCCAGGTAGTCCAGCTTATCTCTAGTTTTCCAAACTTTTTCTGTTATCTTTCTACAGCAAAGTTTTCTTTCCTTTTGCATACTGGAAATGATGCTGTCTTTTGGTCTAGGCAATAGCTACAGTAACACTGCGATGAAGTTCCTCTGAGCTCCCACCCTCAGTAATTTTGGCTAGAAAGTATAATGCTTTGTTATGGCATTGTTAAGCAAATAAGATGTGTCATTGCCATGTTTATTTTGCACATCTTTTGCTTAGGATATCAGATCTGAATTGATCCAGATGTTCATGGCAGTACACGCTTCACACTGCAGGAGCCCAAAACTTGTGAGAGTGGAAATCAGGCTGGGTCTGCTTTGCTGGTGCTGAAAATGCTCCCTTCATTTTTCTGCATCTGCAGAATTTTCAGCGATGGTGCATGTCAATAGTAGATAAAGCAACCTAGAACCTTTCCAGAACTGTGCTACTCAAAAGCAGTGAATTTAAGATCTTTCTTATGTGCAAAAAGAAGTGAAAGTATTATTAGGACTCTAATCACCTGCAAAGCAGAAATGATCTACCTGTGACAATGACAGCAGAACTATACACTTATGGGAAAAACGAACATAATTAGCATGTAAGAAAAAATCTATCACTAATGGACTAGGTTTAATGCTGAGATTATGGCATGAGAGCAGAACATTTAAAGCAGTTCAACTTTCAAGCCTAACTATAGACACCAGGTTAGGATCCTGCATCTCCAGGCTTCAAAGAGGGAAGCTCTACTAGCCTGCTCAGGAAGGCCCTGCTAACTTACTGCCTTTGATCTCAGCTGGCTGCTCTATCTCAAGGCCAACAGATCTAAAGGCATCATAAAACTAACAAAGACTATTATCCACTTTTAAATACCCACAGCTAATTCCATAGAGATCAATGCTGTCATTTACTGAATGAGACCTCCACATTCATGTTTGGCAGTTTTTTGTTAAATGTGTTGGTACAGATCTACACACTCACTACTTGAGTCATCAATACACCTTGCTAGAAGTTTCTCTGGTGTTCAGGTCACCTGTCTGATCTATGTCACTTTAAAGAAACAGCATTTTTACATCCTTTAGAACAAACACATGCCACCTAACTCTCATAAAAACTGCTGAAAGAATGAGAAGAGGATGGGATTACAAAAAACTAAAGCAGTAACGACAAATTGAGGCTGCTCCTCTGCTGAGAGCCTGTAATCAGCCTGCATCAGGTGACAAGCCTGAAAAGATGCAACTTCTTTTTCTCTCCTTACAGCAATGCCTTTTCAGGACTACCGAAAAACAGAGGCCTAAGGCATGAACAGCAGTTATTGCAACCACCAGTTTGTACTCTCAGAGATGGAGCATGGGTGGAATATTACACGCAGGTTAGAGCACTAGGTAAAAAAGCAGCAAAAATAAAATAAAATAAACTCTGTCACGTTGCTAACGAGAGATGTAAAATTACAGTCCAGCCTAGCTTAGTGACAGCACAATAATGAGACCTTCTACACTCTTAAAGTAAATGGATTAACTCCTTTGATTACTCCTAGATTTTACCCAGCCACAGCAAACTCTAAGCTAGCAGCATGGATCTAGCTATCTCTGGCACAAAACTCCAGAGCAGATGGCTATATGTACCCCTTTGGCCATCTACTCTGCTTTGTACAGGGCTCAAATTATGTATTTCCCAAAATCCTAAGAAATGGCAAAAGTTCTATATTTTTAGATTTGACATTCAAGAAATGACATCTCTTTAGAGCAATCTGTAAACTCAATAACTATGTTGAATTGTTCTCAAATAATGTAAATTATTGTATTTCCTTTCTCAATTAACATTTATCATTGAAATCTGCACACAATTCCCAACTGATTTCTTAACAATCACTTTTCAAAATGAAGCATCTCATACTGAGATCCAGAATAAAACTGTCTTAGTCATTCAATGGCGCTGTTTCATTTTTAACTATGAAATTCTCCTTTATAAAAAGCCTCTTTTCTTTTTTTTCTGGAGTTAAGTAGTCTACCTTAGTTCTTTTCTATACTAAAATCATGGCTATATTTATGTTGGCTTTCAAGGACTCATTAAAGAAACTGTGTGAGTGAGACAGAAATATATGTAACATATAAAGGAAATAAATACTCTTGGTTTAAAAAAAGTGTTTATTGCACCATGCTTTGAAGAAAGCTCTGGAAATCCTGTGACAAAAGTAAGAACTAGGTGCTAACTCACTGCAACTATTACTATAGAATATTTTTGATGTCTATGTAGCTTGCAGAGCACAGGAAAAATCCCTGTCTAGGTCTGTAGTAAATAACATGGACTTAATTTTCTCTAGCACTACAAGTAGTGTTTTTTCCCTCAAAAGCATGTGACTGAAAAAAAGATGTCTGAAACTTGTAACTAATATTTTCAGGCTTGAATGCTGTAGTTGATTACACATGGACTATAAATCCCTCCACTTGCTGGCAGTGCATGCATTCTTTAAACACAGTGAAATTCCATGGAGATCAGCTACTCACCACATGAATACTTACAGAAAAAGGAGAATTCCTGTGTTGGCCAAGGCAAAAGCAAGACCCAAAATCCCACTGCCCATAATTGCATTGCTAAGGTTGAAGACAGACATTCCCAGTGAAGTAGTTCCTGGGATCTGGAGAAATAAAGACAGATGTGTCAGCAACAGCTTGGAACAGAGTAGGGAAATGCACCCCTGCTTCAAACCCCATGTTTTGTGATGTATCAGATGTAAGTAACTACTGCTATGAAAAAGTTTTAATAAAAATTGTTTGAAAGAGGAGAAAGCGTCGCTGAACTCTGTCACAGCTATGCTGCTTGCTGCCCAATAGGTTTTGTAAACTGCCCTAAATGGCACAGGCAACACACAGCTCATACTGCACTTTCAGTTTTAAACCCCATCTTCCACTACACCTGAAAAACATCCTGGATGTGTAATTCATATATGGCAAAGCCATAAGGAACCACCACAACTTCCTGCCCAACAGAAGCCAGAGGGATTCCCTTGCCTCAATCTAACCGATATGCTCAGGGGTTTTGTTTTGGGGTTTTATTTAAGTGCTGATCCCAGGCAGTTCCTACTGGAAATTGAATTCAGTTATAGTTGTGTCTGCCCAGCACTTTTGAAGACAATGTCTAAAGGCCTTTCATATACACAACATGCAGCTGCTTTTGACAGGGAACAGAGCAGTGAGAGAGACTTACATATTCATCACATTTCTTCTTCTCGAGGTGGCTGTTTGTGAGACTTCTTCTGCTTTCTCGATCCGAAATAAACTTGCTGAAAGAAGTCAGAGAATTTATTTCCAGCAAGTGCTTAGAAAATATGAACACAAGGTCCTGTGAAGCAAGTACAACAAGAAACCAAACAGACTTCTTCTTCCCCTCCCTATCAACCTCAAGACTCCTGAGCACCAGCTCAATTACTTCCTGCCTTGCCAGGTTGGAAGGTCCCAGGCACGTGGCCCAGCAGGCAGTGGTGATGACCCTCCACAGAAGAGGAAAGAATAACAGCATCCTGGGCACTGAGGATAAAATCAAGCAGTTACAAGTCCTAAGTGGGGAACTTGGGACTGCAGCTGCCACTGGCCAGAGACAAACCCCTGTCCTCTGCACCCTCCAAGGATTATGGGAGGGGCTCATATTCTTTTACATGATTTTTGAGTCGAGATTCTGTTTGTGTACTGATACAAGAAACCATAGATTAAGATCTGACCCTATCTGCTGAGCATCCAGTTGACTAGAAACTGTAAGCCAAATTGTTCTCTAAATTCTATATTATGCTACTTATAGATTGCACTGCATTGATTCTGCTTGTTGAAATCCTGTGCCATTCTAATAATAAATTCTGTGCTACACTAATCATAACATCCTGCTAAAAAATAAACCTTTAATCGTAACTATGAATTACTGCCATCATCATTCTGCCAAGGATCCCTAAAAGATGTCACTGTCTCCTCACTATCAGGTGGCATTGCAAAACCCTACATTGCTACTGAAACCTTAAGCTGCCTGTCCTGGTTTAGGGCAAATTTGGGAGAAAACCTCCAAAAGGGTGCTTCTAGAAAGCAAATTCAAGTGGGCCCTCCCCCAACTGGTTCAGGAAAAGATTTCCTTGGAGGAAAGTGGAAAAATCTGTTTATTTAACAGGCAAAGCATTCACCAGGACAGAAAATGAGCAATATTAAACAATAAAACCTCTTGCCAATCTGAAGAGATGACAAGCTCAGAAAGTCCTTTTTGTGGGCTGTAGCTCAGCTCCCCCAGTCTGCTGCAATCCCTCTTTGGCTGGAAATGTCACAGGCCAGGCCCGGCCCCGTGGGCCACAGGTGTGAGCTGCTGGTGCTCCTCTGGGTGCTCAGTCCAGAGCAGGTTTAAACAGGTCCAAGAAAAAGAAAAACCACAGTCCAGGGAACTTCTCTGCCTCAGTGAGCTAAAAACTAGCTAAAAGCAAAGGAGAGCTCTGTCTTGCCATCTGTCCATCTGCAGACAACATCCTGTCCAGGAGAAGGATGCAGGGGAGCAAGTGTAGTTTCTGACAACAAACTGCACACTTCTTCTCTCCCCCTCTTCTGTCTCAGAACCAGTCTTAAAGATGCAAAAGTTATTTCTGGGCTAAACAGACAAATGGGGATACAAGCATCATAAAGACACCCCAAGACACTGCCACATAGGGCTGGTATGGCTGGAGTTAAGAGGAGGAAGCTGTGACACACATGCCACTGCTGGCTGGACAGTCCTGAAGCAGGCAACCTGCTCTGCTGGTACACTGCTCTGGACTACTGGATTTTCATCTAAGTGTCTTTCAAAACTCAATGCTGAATTCATCATATTGCAATATTAAACACTTCTGTGCAGGGAGACATAGAATAAACAGCTTTTCTTTCTCTTTACCCTTTGCTTGTTCTGTGTCCTTGATGTAAGCACATTTAGTAACTTTCTGTCCCCCTGTGGCAGTGTTGGCCTCCTTGAGATTTACTACACTTCTGATCTGGATGTGCTGTAACTTTCTCACAGACCTTCTCTTCAGCAAACATGTTAGTTTGTATAAAGCATTCTTTCAGCTTTTCATCTTTTGAAGGTTTATGCACAATTAAGTCCCTGGCATCTTTGCTAATCCACAGATGGTTCTTAGTCTGCGCTGGCTAATGCCTCAGCCATGGTACACGTCACATACCTAACCAGGGGCTGTCACCAAGTGTCAGAGCCCATTTTAGCTGTAGCTGCATTAAGCTGGCTCTTCTTAAATTGAAGCAGACAAACAGCACTGAACACCAACAGCAGCACTGCTGGTCCTTTCCCACAGTGGGAAACATCTACTGGCCAGGGATGTATAGTTCAAACTGTGACTCAAAACTTTGCATCATCTCAATACATCCAGCAGTATTCAGGCTGGTAATAAATCTGTGAACTTGTAAAGACAGAGCTTGAGCAAACTTCCCTACTGCCCCAGTTGTGGCCTAATTACTGCTGCTATGTATGCTAGCACAGCTTCTAAGGCTATGCCAAAATCATGCAGCTAAAATGCTGCTGACTTGGCTTCCACAGCTGACACACTGGGCCTTGTGTCTTTAACATTTTGTGTTTATGCCTTAAATCCAGGCATAGATGGTAAAATGTAAGTAGTATTTTAGCTGGGTTTTTACAATTTTGCCTCCTGCCCATTGTTCTGCTTTGACTTCCTTTAAATCAATAAGAAAGAACTATAGGCTTCTCCTGTATTTTTTAAATACTAACTTCAGCAACTAATTTGCTGAAAAACATAGATATGATGTCAGATTTACCAGCTTTAACACAGTTGGAATTGATGGCTGAACCTCCCCCACCACTTTATGAAGTGAGAAGCAACCACTTCTAAGATAGACTGATCTGAAATTAGCTTTCCAAAGCTCACCTTGTAGGTATTTCATCCTTGTGGAATAAAATCTCAACCTGATTCAGAGCATGTGCTTTTTTTCTTTCATGTCTGTTAAAGCCCATCTCTTGAACACAGGCAGCAGAGTGTGAACGGCTTGAAAAAGACATTCCAGCTCTCTCTCGAAACACCCTGCAGGCAATTTGTACAGGCAGGAGCACAGAGAAAAGTTTTGTCTCTTTTGGATTTGTAACCGCTGCTGGGAACATCTGCAGACTTTGCCTTCTTCTGTCCTTTATGGAGATCATGTGTCATTTTAGATTTTGTCAAGAGTTATGATAGGAGTCACTAGTCTGCTCCCCCCAGTTCTGCTCATCCCCCTGCAGCCAGCTCCCCCATAATAATTACAAAAATAACAAATTTGTGCACACTGTTATTATTGTCTTCTGGTATTAAACTTCCATGAAAATTATTGTTAAAAAACGAATACAGGATAAAGACAACACTTGAGTAACATTGCTTGAATATAAAAGTGACCACAGGACTTTCCGTTAGAGTATTTCTGACAGAATAAACAGCTTCTGCAAAGCTGGTATCTTCCACAGCCAACAAACATGTTATTTCCTTCTGGATGCAACTTTGAGAGAACTAGTCTGATTTGATAAATTGATCCAAAGTACTTTCTTCTGAGCTAGTTCTAGAGTAAAAATGGAGTTGGCTTGTTGCCCAGCTCCTCATCTACCCCACATCAAACCCCTAGGCTCCTCATCTACCCCACATCAAACTGCACTTTTTTCCATTTTTCTGTGTACAGGAGGGCAGAGTTAGACATGGGGATGAGGGTACTGGGACCCCAAACAATGAGGCACATAGCACTGAGCCCAGCTTTCTTATGGGGGACTTCCCAGCCCCAGGACGGCTTGCCCAGACAGCCCAGGGGATGTGGGCTCTGCCTGTGCTGCATTTGCTGTTGCAGGCAACTTAACCTGCAAGTCCAGTGCAGAGGTCTGCCTTGGGACAACGCTTGGTGTGGCCAGACCATATGCCAGACAAGTTTTCCACAAATGAAAAATATTACTGACCTTAAATGAAATAAAATTAAAAGAAAAAGAAAGTACAGTGGAAGGTAATCCAATGAATTCAGCAGAAACAAATTTTATCAAGTTATTGCTTTTTATAAACTTTTTTTTTTTAATTTCAGGGTGGTTTTTCTTCCTCAGAGCATATGAAAGGAAACATATGCTGGAGTACCGGAATTTCTAGTTAAACTGTGCCATGCATCTGCTCTGCTTAATGGACGTGCTTAGAAAACAAGCCATTCATTGTCACAGAATGCTGCATTTTTGACCTTTATGAATATGACACAAATTAAGTGAAACGCCTGTTTACACCGCCTCTCCCAGCCCTCCCAAGGAGCAGAGGCCAACTGTGAGAGGTGCTGTGGCAATGCACTGTAGGACTGTCTGTGCCATCAAAACCTTGAGGCTCCCTGACAAGCATGAAATCCATTTGCACTGTTTGTTGTCTTCATTTCAAATGATGCTTTACCCATCACTGAAAGACATAACCTGCTCTTACATATTTCTGCTTTCCTGTTGTGTTTCCTGTATCATAGCTGAGCATGAACAGACTATACAGAACTTTTCTGATACATTAATGAAGTATCCTGGCCAAGATACAATGAGCTCATCCTTGTGATGCATGAAGCCTCACAGCTGGCCTGGAAAGAATATCTTAATCTAATTATTTTCCTGGTTTGATTTAGTGCAAAGTAGAAACTTAGCCTTATTGATAAAGTGGTTTAAAAAGGATGATGTTTAACTATGGTTTCCAAATTTAATTTATTTAAGGACTTCAATGAGAAATGTTTGATTAAGGTGATACCCCCAAGCTAACCACTTTGGCAAAGCAGAGTTAGCCAAAAACCATTTAGCCATCTCAGTTACGTTTCAACATAATTAAATTAAAATGGTATTTTATAATGCCTTAAACATTTGTTAGGGAAAGCTAGTTTTGCCAAGATGACAGAACTCTATCCTTAGGCAGCTTCTTAAACTGCATGCTAACTTGAGCAGTGGCAAAGATTTCCAGGGCAGGCATGAACAAGAAATGTAGAGGAAAGCTTGATCTGACTTACACTATGAAAGTGGACCAGATCTTAGCATACCTACTAAGAACCTTGTTAACTGAACAAGAGGTGCTGATAACTTATTAGCAGCTGTAAACCAAGACAGACATCAGCTTCTTGAGAGCATTGTCATAGTAATAGTCAAGGAGTAGTTTATCTAAATACTGATTCACAATTATGTGCAGAGATGGCAAGGTTAATAGCCAGGAGACATAGTTAAAAGTCACAAAATCCATGTCTGGGTTTCATGCAAATCTCTGAACTGACATTTTCAGAAGACATTCCCATTCAACATCTGCATACAAAGAAAAAGCCGTCTTAGCAGTACAGCCTCTTCAAATCAACATCCCCTCCCTACATATATTTAGGCCCAGAAAAGGCTGGAAAGTCAAAGGAACATACAGGATTCTTTTCCAAGATTAGGAAATATTTGGAGTTTACAGGCAGCTTTGGAATCAGCTTGTGCCTAGTGTACCATCTCCAAAAGACCCTTAAAAAGTTGCTCTATATTGAGCTTGAAAAACTACGTCCTGAGAGAAAAAAAAATTAAATTAAATACAGAGTGTAAAATCAAACAGGTTGAAACAATAAAAAAAGTGAGTTGGTTGAAAATTAGAGATCTAATCTAAAGCTCAAGTGAAATCAACAGAAAAAGTCCCACTGATTTTGATGGACTTGGGCATTTTACAAGGCCTCACATCACGTGTCAGGCAGCACAAAATGTGTTGCTCCCTGTGCCTGTTAACCTCTTACTCCATGGAAAAAAAGGTGTCTGCCAAAATAGCTATAGGAAGGGACTAACCACATCCTTTCAGGATGCACGGGTGCAGAGCAGGATATGCCTGCTTGCTCGTCACACAGGATGGCATGGAGGTGCTTGCAGCTGTGGGGGGCTCAGGGACAGCCTCAGCCCCAGGGCATGCTGGCAGGGTGCCCTGGTGCCAATGTGCTGCTGCACTGGAAACTCTGGTCCGTGCCAGCTGCCTTGAATCTCTCGGTTTGGATATGGAGGGGGACATGAACAAACTGGATATACAGGGCAAAATAGTCATGCATGGGATGCAAGTAGCTGTCCCATGAGTGCCTGGGCAGAGGACTAAGAGAACCATAATATGCTATATCCTATAGACAAATGATAGATCCTCTTCTGCAGAGGAAGCAAGTTCTCCAGAAAGGAATAGAAAATTGTGAAATATCTTAACCTGCCCTAAGAGCCAGAACAGTAATCAGAAATTCTGCCTCTGAGTTTCTGACCCTCTTTCGACACTCCACTTTTCTTCTTCCTTTTGCAGGCAGTCTGGATCCAGCCCAGCTCTTGCCACACTTACTATGCCCTAACTCCAGAGCACATGGCGACCACAGAGGACCAGGCACATACAGCACGCTCCTTCCCCACCCTCCATAAACATTCACTGACAATGAAGCGCCAGCAGGGCTTTTCCCCATAACAGTTACTGATGGCATCAGCCAAAGTGCTGGGGAGGCACAGCCAGCCCGGTATAGCCACTCCTTGTCTCAAGGATATAAATCCTCAACAGCCTCCAGGGAGTGAATTTACCACTGTCAGCCCCATAGCTCCTCTCCTTACAACATGAACCAGCAGGAAAGCAAGCAGGTTCATACTGGAACTGTTTTGTTTTGGCAAACTTGGAGGGTTTTTTGTCTTTCTCTTGCCTCTTTTTTTTTTTTTTTTTTTTTAACAGAAGTGGTTTGTGTTTCATTTTGGCACTTTCCATCAAAGCAGTTGCATCAGAAAATTCCTGACCAGCTCTAATCTTCATCAGCGCAGCTGCGCTGCGGTCGCAGCACCACCCGCCCTGCCGGTGCCGGCCCCAGGACTTCCCCTCACTGGGGCTGGCACCCTCCTGCCCCCACCCCGCCACCACCCCACGGTACGGCTGGCTGCTTGTGCTGCCTGAATGGTGTGGACAATGCTGGGTGCTTATTCCCACACCTGCCACCGAGATCCTTGTCCACCCATGCAGTTGCGAGTCTCACAACTGACTCTAACCTCGCCTGGGAAAAAACAGCTCTGAATTTAATTTTAACGCTAGAAAGTGAGTTTCTCACATAGCTGGAGAGGATGCTGCCAACAGGAAGAAAAGGCAAGAGAAGAAGATTTTAAAGATCATAAAACAGGTGGTGGCAGCCCCGCAGAAGGGATCACAACAATGTGCTGGCAACAGGCTTCCCAGCAGGGCTGAATCCCCATGCAGGCACTGACTGGCCCTGTGCTCCACCTTGGTTTGCAATATTTGAACAGGAAGTTTGATCAAAACAGAGCTTCCTATTTTACAGCTCACAAAATACAAACAGGGTCTGTCAGCAGGTCTTTGCTGTAAACTGGATGGCTCAGCACCTGTTGGAGGCTGGCAGGAAGGGCTGGAGAACTGCTCTCTGGAGAAAAGGCAGCTCTTCAGAAATGACTGTAAGCTTACAGAAAAAGCCAACAGCCTAATAATTGTAATGATAATTGTAACTAATAATTTTCACCAATATTGATGCATTTTTTAAACCTTGATCCGAGTTAGGTGTAAGACACAGTTTTACCATCTTCTTGCCACCTCTGCCTCAAGGGAGCAAACCGCTGCCCAGTTTATCTTGTCAAATTGCAAACACAGACTGGAACTACAATTGCTGCCAACCACACCAGCTGTAACTCCCCAGAAGCTTGGATACATGGAGGTGGCCAGACAAGCTAAAATTGTCATACCAAAGATGAAAAGTCAACTAAGAGACTTCTCCAAAATTATGCCATCATATTGTTATTACTTCTTTGCTGTGTGGAAGCAGACATCTAAAATTTTTGGCTTTTTGCTGCATTATATGTTTATGAATTTTATTAGACTGATTTGATAGATTCAAAATGATGAATAAATTGCTACTCTGTTTGCTTTATCTGCTATTGCAGCCTATGCCCAACAGATGTTACGTATGAAATTCAAATTACATCTTCAAATGGAGCATGACTTGGTAATGAATAATTCAAGATATATACTGAAAATTAGAATGCTGTTTTTAAACAGTGTGTTTCTTAGCAGAGGCAACGTCAGTGGAAAAATACTCACCTATTTATCTGGCCATTTTCCACCTCTGTGAAATCATTTGAATCATTGCTGATGTTATCATCTTCAGGGACAGTCATATTCTGCAATTCGGTCAGTTCTAATCCAGCTTTGAAAGGCATGCTGGGTGAGGAGCTGTGCCTATCCAAGTGGATCTTCAAATACTAGTGTTTGGTTGGTATCTTGTGAGTAAACTGGAGCCACAGTGTCCACAACCTAAATAAAACAAAACGAACAAACCCAAGATGTATACCAAAACCAGCAGGCAATATCAAATATCACCAGGAGAAACCAGTGAAACCTGCACGGGAGGGACATCCATACCAACCAATTTTGTACTGTTAGATGGACCTCAGGTTATTATCTAAATACATTGCTGAACAATAGTAACCTTGTATGTCTTAATGAGATCAACCTCACTAACCTTATAAATTTACCCTGTCCTGCAATCTATTGCTGAAAACAGTATTTTTTTTAAACTTGTGAGCAAGCCCAGCCTGTTTGTTTCAGGAAAAAAGATTAACCTCAAATTAAGGAATAAAAACTATTTGCTTGTCCAAGTCTGTCCCAATTCAATATCTGGTGTTTGTCCTCTCTGTGCTCTCCATCCTTACTTAAAAATATAAAATACATGTCCATGCTGATGCTAAGTGGGATACAAAGAGGGATAGAGTTATCCTGGTGCTCTGTGCTACTAGCACATGTATTCCAACTTGTTAAGGATTTTTGGGAAAGCACAGGTGCAGTGGACGCTTTGTTCAAATTTTTAGATGGTTAAACTTGTTATGAACAAGGAGAGAAACAGAAAACCCAAAATCCCTAAGCTGATGTATCACAGAAAGAAGGCGCAATGTATACCTTGTGTGAAGCAGTTACTATCTAGAGACCAGGTGATGTCTCTTCAGATAGATGTGTTCCATAAAAGCACAGAGAGGAGCACCAAAGGCAGATCAGAGAAGCCTGCTACAGTGACATACTTCCTCATCAGCAATGCAAAGCAACTGAAAGACCAATATTTTCCGGAGCCCAACCACCCTCGGCTGAGCTACAACTCCAGCGTGGTAGTGAGGCAACAGCATATTACTCACAAACAAGCTCCTGCACCACAACTCTCTCAATTCTCATTTTGTGAATGAATTTCCTGCAGTATTGCCAAACAGCTATTCAGCCTGGGGTACGTGGTGAACCCTCAGACACCAGATTAATTTGGGGATATTTTAAATTCTCAGGGCTACCTCAAAGCCATTGAACTGCATGCAACCAGAGGCACGAGCATCCCCAGGCTCTTGCAGGGCGAGACAGGAGGATGTAGCTCACTTGTTCAGTTATGACATCTGCCTGTTTCAAATTAAGTTTACAGAAGCCAGTACTTCTGTTTTATACCACATCCCCACCACACAGAAGATAGCTTTGCAAATGAGCAGCTTTTTCCCTGTAAATTCTTTCTCAGAAACGCCATTTTCAATTCCTCAAGAGCCCATCCTGTCCAAAGTTCAGGTGCCAAGTTTAAAGGCTATCCTCGAGGCTAACAGCAGGACCCCCTCTCTTCAACTGAAGGAGCAGCTAGGCATGTGATTATAGTGGCAAACACTGCCTGGTGCAAGGGTAGAGTTTGGGGTGTGTGAGCTGGAGACTTTTCAACTCCTCTGCAAAAGAGATTTCCACTACAGATAGCAGGAGAAAACTGCTCAGGTATTAAAATGTTGGCACAATAAAATATTTAAAAAAAAAAAAAAATTGATTTAGGCTGCTGATAAATAAAGGCAGACTGGCAAGCAGAGGGTGGTTTTAGCATTCTGGAACAGTCTTCCCAGAGGCTGCAGGGATATAATAGTCTACCTATTTTGGAAGAGAAGCACAGTCTTTTTATAAAAGGATAAAGCCACAGGAGACAGAAACTGCTGAGGTGGCAAGGACCAACCCCACTGAATTCTGAAGTTTCTTGTGACTGTGAGTTCCTAAAATAAACAATTTCTTAAGAGACCCAGCAACCCCTGTACCAGGATCTGGGTCCCCTGGCATTTTAAAGCCGCTATAAAGGTTCAGCTGAGATTCAAGCAGAGAAGCTTTTCCTTTGGGCACCGTTATGCATCATGATGCCCAGGAGGATTTTCAGAACTGCCTTGACATTCCCTGTGCTTCATAAATTCCCCATTAAGTGTCTCAAAAACAGGTGCTGAAATTAGCAGCCGTGTGAGGTAAGCAGCGCACTGGAGAGCGGCTGCACAGCTCACTGACGTGTGGCTCCAGCTTCGCCCTCTGCCCCTGAAACACTGCAGCACCAGACTGGCAGCAACACAGCTCCCCGCTTCATTCCCAAGGAATCTTTGCAGCACAAAAGTGACAAGCTTTGTCTGTTTCAATCAAAACCCTGCTTCTACAGAAAACTAATTGAATGATGACTCTTCGAGGGCATGTAGTGATAGGACAAGGGGAAATTGCTTTAAACTGAAAGAGGACAGGTTTAAGTTAAGATATTAGGAAGAAACTCTTCACTGTGAGGGTGATGAGGCACTGGAACAGGTTGCCCAGAGAAGTTGTGGATGCCCCATCTCTGGAGCTGTTCCAGGCTGGATAGGGCTTTGTACAACCTGGTGTAGTGGAACGTGTCCTTGTCCATGGGAGAGGGGTTGGAATGAGGTGATCTTGAAGCTCTTTTCCAACACAAACCCTTCCATGATTCTATAGGACAGAGCAAAATCTTAGAGCAAGCTGAAGCACCAGCAACCATTTCAGCAGATTTCATATTTCAGACAGACAAGTTGCTCCTGAAGCATCATGACAGTGGGCATATCTCTGAATATGTGTCAGGTTCTTGCTAGGGTAAGTGATTTACTAAAAAACCACCATAACAAAAACAAACAAAAAAATCTTGAATCAAATAATGCATAGCACTGCCAAGTATGAGAAAACCTGATCTCAGCGTCAAAACATGAGGTGGGTGAGGAGAGAGTGGTGGGGCTGGGAACTGAGGTTTTCATTGTCATGGCATGAACTCATCACAGATCTCTGGCAAAGTAAAACCAACATGTCCTCTGCATCTCCACCTATAAAATTAAGATGATAACAGCAATACTAATACTCAGTTTGTGAAGTGCTTGAAGGTTTAGAGACAAAGGGTGATACAAGTGTGATACCAGGAATAAAACACTATGTAAATCACAAAATTTTTGCAATAACTTTATCTTAGAGATATACAGAGAAAACACTTTGTCACTGCTAATTACTCTGGGCACTCTCCACAGTCAATGGAGTATAGGTGGTCACATGAATTTCATCCCCAAATAACCTAATCTAAACTTCAAGTTCACTCATGGGACAAATCACAGAGCCTAAATAAAATCTAAAATCCCAAAAGGTTAGGGATCGTGTCAAATAGCTTAATTCCCTACAAATCCAGTGTCCACTCCAGACCTGTCACTTGGCCTCTACAGCAGAGCCTGCTGCTGGAGGACAAACCCCCTGACCCATGGGAGAGGTCTGCAGTCACACTGAGCTGTTCCCTGCAATTGCAATAGCTTTGCTCCCAAAAGGAGATTCAATGCTGGGATAGCTGAGCAAGTTGCCACCTCAAGTGTACATGTCACTAGTGCTGTGAGAAAAAAATCCCAAAATTGCTTCAACTAATAAAAATTCACCATATGTTGATACTGAGCTATAATGGAAGCAGCAGGGTAATATTTGTACTTTTACGGCCTTTTCATTCAAGAAATGTCTTAAAAGACATGCAAATAAAAAAGCTATGTTGTTCTTAGGCAAATAAAAATGCTAAGAGTTCTTAGGCTGAGCTTTATTCCTAATTCAAATTGAAAGACAGTAAATAATCACATTAATAGTAACTGCAGAAATGCCAATCACCTCAGCCACTGTGCCTACTACTCTGTCCTACTACTCAGCTTTTAACTTCTTGAAAGGAAAACCTCCAGAGACTCACAACCAAACCTCTTCTTCCAGACAAATACTTAGTAAATCATAAAGGACAAATCTGAATTTTGCTCTTGCTTCAAATTTTTCTACTCAAACGGGCAAGCACTTCTTGTAAAAGGCATCAGCCGGAGAGAAGATCAGCAAAGAGCTAATGACTGTTCAAAACAAACCTCAAGGATCTGTGTTTGGTAGCTGACCCAGCTCCTCTGTTTAGTAGAAAAGCATTGCTCTGGCCTAGCAGCTTGGCTTTCTCTTTAAATATCCCATGATGTGTCTTGTAAAAGCCATTACAGATAATTTATTTGCTGTGTGCTCCTTGCAGAATATGGGAAAGATTACAACTGGTCACAACTTCAGGAGGACTATGAGATGACACAAGAAGAAAAAATGAGCTTATTATTTTCAAGGACACAGAGACCTTCACAAGCCATTAAAACATATTCCAAGAACTGTAGTAATTTTTTCTGTTGACTTGTGAAACATAAAAAAAAATCCCTGCAACTCCATTTTCCTGGACTGTAAAAATTCCACAAGAGCAGTAATGGGATCAAAAACTTTATGTTTGGAAAAAATATGATAATACAAACAATCTATTTCTTCTGGTTCATGCATGAATCCTTTCTAGGCCATACATGGAAGAGGTATAATCTCAGAAAACACTTAGTCAGAAGCTGTCTTTCTAAAAAGAACATCATCAATCCTGGTAGTAATCACAATGGCTTAATTCATGTTTTTTTCATATCCTGTAAATGACACAGTTCCAAAAGTGTAATCTTAAGGCACATGGCTGCTCAAAAGCTGACCCAGTACATGAGAGGCATTTGGGCAAGTGGTCAATCTGGACCACATCTAGTCCATCTCTGGGTATGGCTTTTGCAATATGCCCTTTCACTGGGCACTTCATTCACTGCACACTTCCTGCAGTCAAATGGTCTTGGGGCTGGTAAATATCCAAGACACACTAAGCACTTTGAACTATGGAAATCAAGATAATTTGCTCAAAAGACAAAATATGACTCAACTTTCTTCTCAAAGAGAGTATTGCCAAGAAAAACTTGGTTGGTTACAAGTCATCAGAACCCTGCATTCGAGTTTCACACAAGCTGTTTTTAGCCCTGCAAAGCCTGAGATGTGATTCTTTGGTGATACTTTTGAAAGTTTTTCAAAGAGCAATGTGGCCAGTAAGACATCATGGATATAAATAACGAAACACAGAGACTGAAACTCTGCGTACGAACTATTCACTTAAATGACAGAAAGCAAGAATAGGCTTTATACGTAACAGTATCACACTGGGAGGCAGGGAAGCAACTATCAGCTTTTTGTTCTGCATTGGTGACACCTGACATGAGGGACATAAAGCTCCAGACTTACTCCTCATCTACAGAAAGGACAAAATGGAGAAATGACAGAAGAGCCACTGAGATAACAAAGAGCTTGGAAATTAGACTGACTCACTGAGCAAGCATCTGCAGTGCTTGAAATGTCATTGCCTCCAGCTCCTCAGCTCTGCCCCTCTGCAGCAGACTGCAGCCACAGGAGCAGTGGAAGGAACCGGGTTCACCCCAGCCCCAGTGGTGTCCCAGCTGGGTCCAGGTGCCACACAGAACCAACAGGGTGCTGGCACTGTCCTGCCCATCGGGCAGTGCCAGGATGAGGGCAGCGCAGTGGCCAGAAGGCCTTGGCGCTGCTGCAGCCATTTGCTTGGTGTCTGCAAGCCACCACCTCTCATCCCCAGGCTCCTCTCTCTCACAACCCCCACGGCATGCAGGATGGAAACAGTTAAAAGATAAGATAGGGGGTGGGAAAACAAGTGTCAGAAGTCTTGGGAAGGAAACTCAGAAAAGGGTGCCATAAAACAGAAGTGATGAGAACAAATGTGGATAGTCAGCCATTCTCTTGGTAGTGCACGACCTTGTGCTGCAACAGGAAAACGTTCCTGCTCTCCCCCATCACTGTCCACACTGCCCTTCCATGCTGCCATGAAGAAAGGGAAGACAGTCCCAAATTAAGTTTCGACAGGCTACTCAGCTGATCAAAGGCAGGCAAATAAGAAACCATAAAATCCCAGTCTGATTCACCAAGTGATTCATTACTTTAGGCAAAACACTTAAAGATGAGCCATAAAGGAAAATGGTCTTAAGTACATTTTTGTTTTGAGCCCTTCCCAGTCAAATTAGGAAAGGCATTTGGCAGAGGAATATAGTCACATTTTTTCCTAATTATATTTCTTTGTGAAATCCTCTCGACAGTCTTGGTTTTCAGAAGAGATCCCACAACGCACCACCACAAATAAACGCACTCTTGTCTTCCACAGAGAGTGGAAATTCTGTATGAGTGGGGCTTTATGGGTCACTGCAACAAAACACACTATCCAGATGTATTTCTAAGGGTTAAACAGCAGCTTTGAAATTCCCATTTAAGTAAACTTTTGTACTACAAAAGGAAGAATCCTTTGTATAAGTTCATGTGTAACTCACTTTTCCTCTGCTCCAGTTTACAAGTAATTTCTCTGCCTCAGTTTTCTTGACTGTAAGAGACTTGAAGCAATATTTACCTGATAAGCTTGGGTAAATATTTTAAGCACTAACTGCAAAACATGTAAAAGCTGCCATTTTTCCCAACAGCAGCTGCTCAAATTTCTTGGATTGGATTAAGGTCACAGCAGTAAGTATCAATCAGAAAGAAAACTGAATTCAGGCTTAAAATATTTAAATATTTCCATAACATCCACTTGTCTTCACAATACAAACTTGTAAGTGATGGTTATTATCATGTTAGTTGCTACGCAGATTCCAACAGAAATGAGCAAGATGCTAAAAAGAGAGAGAAGAGCACAGGAGAGAGTCCCATTTCTGCTCGGTCACCACTCTTACACTGCTCAGAACAAGCTCCCAAAACAGCAAACACAGACAAAATGTAGGACAGAGACCCAGGATGAGCATCCTCCAAGCAGGAAGGCCGAGAGAGCACTCCCTCCCCAACCACCCTTTAGTACCCTTGTAACAACCAGGATTTGGGCACGAAGGACAATTGATTCTCCACATTTTACAACAGTCTGCAGAAAGCCTCAAACTCGGGGGATAATCCTCTTCACACAGGTATGTGCAGCTTGGTGCTTACTGCCAACAACCGTCTCCCATCCTCACCCAGGCTGGAGAGCCCAGTTGGTCCAACTACAGCATAAATAGTCTCAAGTGACGAGACAGAGGATGCTGCAGTGTGCTTCAGTGAAGTGCTCTCTCTATGGTGCCTCTTAAAAAGAAAAAAACCCGACCTTCCAAAAAGGCAAAGTCAAATAGGAGTCATTCAGCACGACAGTGAAGCAGATCGCATTTTCGTCAGTGAATTTCCACCGAGCCTCAGCAGAAGGCCCCTGCTCACCAGCAATATGGCAGTTCGGAGATTTCACGCAGGTTTTGCAAAGCAGATTTCAGCGCCATTTCGGCATGGGCTTCTAGCCTGGAAAGGACAGTTATTGATACCTATAGCCTTCAGCAACAGATGGAATGTCCTTTTGGAGGCTTTTTAAATGAAGTTGGTGTTTTGGTAGCAAATGAAGTAAAATTTAGATGGAGGATGCTGTTTCTTTCTCCTCCTGCAGCTGTTTTTATTTCTTCTGATCTATGAAGGTTATTCTCAGAATGTAGGGGATTTTTGCTTTGTTATGTTTTTTATTCCTGCAATATATTTTATCAACTAAAACGTATCTTTTTCTGACACTTTACTTCTAGAACAATGTTCTATGTTATTTTGCCTTTCATGCACAAGTAAAAGCCAAACAAACCCGAAGGTGAAGGAAGAAGAGCACAGGTTCCTATTTATAATTTGGATTAAAGATTGGTAGATATGCCCCACAGCAGTCCGGGATTCTGAATAGCCTGCGGACATGAGGCGAGTTCAGCTGGTAGCGCAAGAAAACTACAGCTTCTCCTTCCATAAAACCAGCTGCCAGATCCAGGGTTTATTTCAGTCCTTGCAATGTCACATAAACAAAGCGCGGCTTTACACACCTCATGGTCTCCTCCCTCACAAGGAAACAGACACATCCTAATGCTACAGGTTGCATTACGAACTCTGCAGAACAATGGAACAAGCCCCCAGCCACAAGAGCGAGCTGGACACACACACACACGTGAGCCGAGGCACCCCGGGCATTCACCGGGGCCTCTTTTTGTTCTCGCCTTGGCTCACGGAAAGCGACCACCTCAGCTGTTACTATGTATTTACGGGCACCACGCACACGCGTGCGCGCCATGGGCCCGGACTGCATTTTCCGAATACCGTAAAACTTGCACTGACCCCATGGCAGCGCTGGGTTTAAGGGAAAGGCAGGAACGTTCCCCGGGCACGGCCACACCGCGGCCGCGCACCCTGCCCGGGCTGCGGCACCCGCCACCCGGCCGTCATAAGGGGCAAACACATTTATTATTACTACATTTTTTTTCGCCGCCAGCGGAAGACCGTAGCCGCAGACTGCCAGGTTTTTGTTTTATTTCTGCGGGTTTTGTTTGTTGGTGGTTTTTTTCCACAAACTGCTGCCCGCCTCAGCAGTCGGCGAGGGCAGCATCGCTCCCGCCTCCGGCGCGGCAGCGCGCCCAGCCGCGGGAGATGCCGCATGGCCGCCCGTCCCCTCGTCCCCTCCGCCCCGCCGGGCTCCCCGAGCCCCGCCCGGCTGGCTGCTCGCGTTTTTAGGGTTCGCACTGGGCAGCACCAGGGGCGAGCAGACACGTTTGGCAGGGGATGGGGGAGGGCTGCGCACACGGCCGGGACAAAGCGCGGGCGGCGGCGGGCTCCGGGCTCCGGCCCGCGCTGCGCGGCCGCGGCGCGGAGACAAAGGGGGCGCGGGGAGCCGCGGCCCCATCCCTCCCCCCCCTTGCGTTAGCCGCTGCTGCCTACCTTCCCCAGGAGCCGCGGGGACCCTCCGAGAAGCGATCCACCTTTTCCGCCGGGATCCGACTGGAGAACCCCGACAAATAATTACAGTGATAAAAATAAAATAAAATTTAATTGAAAAAAAAAAAAAAAAGAAAGAAGAAGAAGAAAGAGAGAAAGGGGGGAGAAGGGGGGTAAATGAAACTGGCGAAACGAAAACGACGAGAAAGATGCCCTTCCTCCTCCCGCCGCGGGTGTGTGCATGTGGAGGTGGGCGGGCTGGCGGGAGCGCGCCGGGCGCGCGCCGCGCGGGGCCGGCGCCGGGGCCGCGCCTTCAGGTGCTGCGGGGCGCGGGGGCTCCGCGGGGCGGCCGATCACACGGTCCGGGCAGGGCACCCCCGGGACCCCGGCACGCACCGCTCCCCCGCAGCATGGACCGTCAACACCTTTCCTTTAAAAAAAAAAAAATTTTTTTTACTCTTTTTACAAAAGACAATAATTTTTTTTCACGCCACGGTTGGAGAACCCCTCCAGGCAGCCAGGCTGGATTTTTGTGACTTGAAATGTCTACGGAAGATCTGGTACTATTGTGTTAGCCGATTTCCTGTTGTGTCATGCAAAAGGTATATGCTGAAAATGCTGCCATTTGTGCAAGAGGTCGGAGTATTTCCTGCTGGGGCAAGACGCCTTCCTTAAAATGAAAGGGGGAATTCAATGCACGGATGATTTACTGTAGCTTGTTATTTCCATCCTAATATCTAGAAAGCACTGCATGAGCCTTTTGGCTTGGAAAAAACTTTTCAAGAACTAACCTGAAGCAAGATGGTATTGCAGCTGTCCTTGGCTGCCCTCCCCTACAGAACACATGACTTGCATGGGGCATCACAAGGCAAAGAATGAAAGGGTGATGGAGTCTGTGGGTTTGGGTGCAGTTTGCCTCGCTACCCATGGACGGTAATGGCTTCTGGGAGGCTTTCATGGCAACTCTTTCATAAGCTTCTTGAGGTGCTTGCTCTGGAATTTCCACTGCTGTGTCTCATAAATGTCAGGCCAAAAAGGCAGATGACACACATGAAGAACTGTGGTTTTCAAATTACTGATTTGCATACAGAATCTCGATTTCTGTTTTGGTATTTTCACAATTTTTAATTTTTTCCCCCAGTAGAGCAGTTCACAGAATCATGGAACAGTTTGGGTTGGAAGGACCTTTAAAAGTCATGTAGTGCAACTCCCAGCAATGAACAAGGGCATTCTCAGCTACATCAAGTTGCTCAGAGCCCCATCCAGCTTGTCTTTGAATGTTTTCAGGGATCCACCACCCCTCTGGGCAATCTCTTTCAGTGTTTCACCGCCCTCATTTTCCTTATATCTAATCTAAATTGACTCTCCTTAGTTTAGACCCTTGTCCTATTGCAACAGGCCCTGCTAAAAAGTTTGTCACTCTCTTTCTTATAGGCCCCCTGTAGGTAGTGAAAGGCCACAATAAGGTCTCCTAAGAGCCTTCTTTTCCCCAGGCTGAAAAACACCAACTCTTTCAGCCTTTTCTCATAGGAGAGGGGCTCCATACCTATGATCATCACCAGGACCCCACTGCTCCAAAGCCCCATGTGTCTCCTGTGCTGAGGACCCCAGAGTTCTCTGAATGTGAAGTGCTGTGCAAGCAGTAACCTAATTAACACCTATTGCACCCTGCTAGGACAAGAGCCACATCATCCCAGAATTGAGAGTGAAGCCTGAGGAAGAGCTAGCTGAGCAAGGGCATTAGGGCAAGGGCTGATCTTTCAACCTCACTCGTGTGGTTAAACTTCTCACATCAGAATCATGTGCAGTTCCAGAGAAATTTAAGATTGACAAAAGATGAGGGACTGGATTTTAAGCCAGAGGCTTCACTCCCCACCCAGCCCTCAGTGCAAGCTGTCATGCCTGAAAGCAGAGAAGCAAGTATTTGCAATTCACTCTGACTCACTTAGACTTATATATGGTAAACTGAAAATCAATCTCTACCCCAGATTATTGAATAAAAATATGTATTATATAGTGGATGAGGTCAGGTGGTGTTACTGTAGGGAATAAGAGGAAACTACTTTGTTTCTTTAAAACAAAATACGTATCAGGCTATCAGGTGAATGATCATTGATTTGATGTGCTCTGCTACCTCCTTTCCTTTTATAGTTACAAATGCAGGTTATTTGATTCTTAGCTTGTCATGTGCATTCTTAGAATGGAGGTAATTATTTTTAATAGAATTTCAAAAAAGTCTTTTTAATATATTTTAATCAGCTCAAAAAAATTGATAGTATTTCTCAGGAATGGAAAGGATTTTACTTTGCCTCTTTAGTAGTTTAAATTTCTCCAATCTTCCTCTCAATATCTCTCTGATTTTTTATCACTGTTGGTTCTGTTTGTCTTGATATGCGTGAAACTTTGATGCTTGTGGCAAGCATATTCTAATTCTAGTTTCATGGGTTTTTGTAGGGTTTTTTCCAACAGGTTTTCATGGCAGTCACTCCTTATTGACCCTATTCACTCCTCCTGTGTCTTTCTCTTTATTCTTTTCATTCATTATCTTGCTCCTATTCCTATTTAGAGATATACCACAAAATTCAGGAATTTACTGTAATATTTTTCTTTGCCCATATTAAACTGGTATGAGATGGTCATCCATCTCAAATCTCTTCTTGGATGTCTTTCAATACACTTTTATCTAGTCAAAATGGATCCTCTTTTCTTTCCTCTGAAATAACCCTGAGCCTTTGTTTGTGGTATCACCATTCTCATCTGCTTTTGTTCAGACTTGCAACTTCCAAATATCCTTTAGATTATATTTTGCCTGCCTAAAATGAATCAACAGCCATGTTCATTTTCAGAAGTACCCTCTGAAGTGCAATGTTCTTCCAGAGTCTGGAAAATTCCCTTCTGTACTCTCCTTCAAAAATTTATGCTTATTGACTAACTTATACTTACTAATGGAAACTGCTGGTATGCAACAAAAAATATATATCTACATAATAAAAATGAACTTAAATCAAAAGACACCAAATACTTCTTTGGTTGACTAAATTATTGCATGTGTGAATATTTGGCAATTTTCTTCATGCAGTTTCAGAATGCTGTTTGATTTGGCATGCATTTCATTGAACGTGGGGCTTGTTTGGCTTCTTTGTTGTCTTTTGCTTCCAAATTGCAGCAAAGCCTACCAGACATTCCAGACACAATTCTTGCACCTGAAACAAAGCTGATGACAGAGCATCATTAATTTTGTATGATTATCCGTTCAACTATTTTACCCTCAGGCAAATATATGGCTGCAGCCCAGGGGGATGGAGTTGCTGGAGTCGGAGGTGGCTGTGCCTGGGGCAGAGGAATTCACGGCTGATGTGATGAGGCTGACAGGTGGAGCTGGAGGTGCTTACAGAGCTCTCTTCACCTCTATTTTAGTACATCCGTCACTGGCATGCTTGAACTCATGTGTTAGTGCTTGTGTGAAAGAGAGAAGAATAAAAGAGAACAGATCAGAAGTGTAAAGCCAGCTGAAGGACAAAATCCTGTGTTTTTCAGAGAGGGTGCTTGCTGCCAGGAGGTGACCTTGAACCTCATCGCTATTCTGACTGCCGTTCAAGAATAGCGATGAAGCAAAGGGCGTAAGCAATGGCTATTTTTGCACCTCAGTACTCCATCTAAATCAAGTTGAACTAAAATGCACATAGAATTTCGTGCCTTTTCCCCCTCCCCCACTGTTTTTTTTTTTTTTTTTTTGGAAAGAGGAATTCATGTCCATTTACTGCAGAGAGCCAAGAAGCTTAGGTTTGATAACACAGCGTCTTAGCCATGGCACTGCTCACAGGAGGGGGCAGTACTGGTCCTCTTAAAGGAAGTAATTAGGCAGGGAGATCCCTTTCTCACCAAAGTTTCACAGACACTGTGTGCTTGAAAAGTCTTGTAGATGTGCTGCAAGGACAAACAAAATACTGACACCTACTTGGGCTGGGTGTGGTTCAGGCCCAAACACACGATGGGGCTTGCTGAAGTGAGCGAAGGCTTCCAAGGTGGAACAGTAAGCTATTTACTTCACAGTACAAATTTATTCCTGGAAATAAACTAAATGTTTCAACAAATATCTATGGATTCTCTAGTGCTGCTGCTGTGCCAGGATTTGCTAGCAAACAAAAATATAGGTTTTGGGGATATCAATCACCACCATGTTAAAAGCCTTCTGGTACTAGCAGGGTCCTGACACTGAGTCTGTGACATTAGTAGAGGAGGATATTTTGCCTAGCAGCTGGGCAAGGCAGAACACCATTGACTGTGATGCATAATGTATGATCTGTACATGACTGGTCTTGCGTGATACTCCGAAAAGAGCTGCCCACACTTGTCACAGATTTTGTGAACACTGATAGCATCAACTGTGTTCAAACATGTGCTCAGCCGCCTCCAACCCTGCATGTTGAGACAATCAGTTTTCCAGGGCTGTGAAATCTTGCATGCATGTCTGTAAGGCTGTGACCATGAGATGTTATCACTCGTTAATTTCCTGGCCAAAGTACGGTATAGGACTGATGATGAGTAATCCTGGTTTAATAGGAGTTGTCCTCTGCTCTTCCTCTTTAGATTCAGGAATTCACACAACGAACCAGGTAGTTGTGCTTTTTCTCCTTAACTCCTGATCATCTGCTCTAACTCTTTTTTTCAGTCAGAACAAGTGTTTTACTGTGATACAAAGTTTTCAAACTTCTTGCATGAGGCTAAGGAAATAGCAGTGGCTAAAATAAAAGAGATTTACAATACGATAGATGCCTGCAGTGATAGTAGAAGTTTCATTTAAATAGATTTTAAAAGTAGGTGTAACAAGATGCTCTTTTATTTACTTGCCTTTAAGGTGTTGTTCTTGACGTCAGTTTATAGCACTATAGACCAATTTATATGATCTGAGTAGACCATAAAACTTTGATCTTTTTGAAATTAGTAAATTCAGATTTTGTGGTGACCAGGATGCTGAGTTGTGTTACAACATAAAGATGAGATCCTCTCTTCTTTTCCTCAGAAAAGAATGGGTTTTGCCATTCCATTTGTAGAAAGTACTTCAAGGGCTTGCTTAGTATTTTGAGAGATAATACCTGTGATCTCATGTTGTCAAAAATTGTCCTGGCAAATTGCAACTCCTAGTTCCAGCATATACAGCATAGCTATTGAGAGTGGGATGTGTCTAGAAACATGAGAAAATTGAAAACTGTTGTGAATTAAATTATACTAAAAATACTT